TGGTGACTGTCATGCGACGTTGGTATTATTTATTATTATTCACTGAAGTTGACAAAACTTCACTTACCTTTCTCCCAAATTTCTCAGGTAGTAGGAAGTTTTGCCCCAACGGAAGCTCTGCAATCTCTCCGCAGAGTTATTTTAAATAGTAAACTTTATATTTTTGTTATTTAATATTTGGATGTAGCCTTAATTACCCTAAATTATCAGAATATATTGAAACTCCGCAGTTATAGGGTTAACGTATGCGTTATTTTGTAAAACGACTTTGTTAATGTATTAGATGCAGGTGAATTAATACAACCATATACGAAATGCACTCATCATGATTTCAGCCCAAACTTAAACCGTTAATTAAGATATCTAAAAATTGGGCCGGATTGTACAAATAGTTTTCAATAATTCTATATCCTAGCTGTATGGGGCTACTGATTCCTGTTAAAATTGGAACGTGCATTGTTACGTTAGACGTTAGTTTCAGGGCTTACTACGGGCCTCGGGGGGCCTTAAGCTTTCCGGGGCACCTTAGTGCCGGTCCGGCCCACGGTAATTATGGTTCAGTGACAAAAATAGTTAGTGTTTATTACGCAGATAAGGGGCAGGAGTTGAAAAAAAACAATTACTATTTAACTTTGAAAAAAAATTCGACTAGAACATTTTTTATTTTTTTTTTGGAATTATTAACAATAATTTTTTTTTTTTTTTTTTTTGGAATTTTAACAATCCCTCGATAGATAATTTTGAACAAGATGACATCTAAAATTCAATAGATAAAAAATGAAGCAATAGAGTAAATATGCAGCAGAAATTTTTATATTGTATTTATTTGCCTCAGATTTAGTAGATTTCTGACGAGCATAAATGAATTCATACGATTTCCAATGAACATTAATGTAGCATACACTTACAGAATTTCTAATGAATGAATGATTTCCAATGCATATTATTAAAGTTGTAAGATTTCCAATGAACATTAATGCATCAAACGTTCAAATCCAAATTTTAATTCAAAAACAATAGTATCATATAACATAAGTTATTAAATAATTATTTTTTATATTTTTTAATTATCTCGTGAGTATTTAATAGATATAATTTTATAAATTAAAGTGTTCGATAAATATAATTTATAAATTAAATTAATAAATAAAATTTTATAAAATAAAATACTTATGCATCGGTATAAAAATTAAAGGTATCACTAAAATTCTTTTATAAAATTCAAATGTGAATTTATATATATTTGATAATTTATCTTTATAAGGATAAAAAACAAGTTGTGAAGTCATATGCAAGCGTGATATTATAGCCAAAGGATGAAACTTCGTCGTCTGCTTTACTCAATTTTGATGCCTTCTTACGTTAAAAAAAGAGATTGGTGTCGGATAAAATGCTTCCTCTCAAGTATTTAAAGAAAATTTATACACAGAATTCGATCTCGAGACCTCTGGTTAAGAGATAAGGGATTCTTACTTTCTATCTTAACCTGTAGTAAAGACAATGGCTTTAACACTATATATAATCTCATTTTTTTTTCAAGCTAAATTAATATAAAAACAATTATATTACATCTTTAATATAAAAAATTATTCTTTTAATGTCTATCTCTTATCCTTTTCTTCTTCTCTCTCATCGTAGTCTTCACTTTCACATAAATGAATTAATAGAAATCCAAAATCAATCGTTACAGCATTACTATCTTTTTTTTTATAAAGTATTTATATTTTTGAAAACAACGGTAACTTAAGTTATCAAGGACCTATTAGGCCATTAAGAAAAATGTTAAAATCTTATTTAAATCTTATTACTGAATAAACCCCAAAATCATAAATTAAAGAAAAATTAAAATATTTCGGTTTTATAAAAATAAATTTAATTTATTTTTTAGAGTTTAGGTCATTTTTCTTTTTAAATATACAATTAATTTCAGAATTCTCTAAAATACTACATTTAATATGTCTATAGCTTGTTATCAATAACTTTCCATTCAATTGTTCATTGAAAGTGACATGACACAACAACAGTAAAGGAGTATATTTTTGAAAGGGAATAGAGTATATTAGCAAAAGTATTGGTAAAAAAATTAATTATTTTTTATTAATTTGTGTGAAAGAAGAAGCACGTCTATTTTTATAAAATGAGAAAGCATATTTAAAAAGGGAAATTTGTTGCCTTTTTTTTTTCTTTTTTGTAAAACACATACCGTTATCTTCTTTTTTTCCTTTTAATAACTTCTAGAGGTAGAGTGAGCCTTTTTTTTTTTTTTTTGCCTTTTTTTTCTTTTTTCTGTAAAACACATTTACCGTTATTCTTCTTTTTTTCTTTTAATACTTCTTAGAGTAGGTGAGCCTTTATTTTATTATTTTTTTTCTTTTTTTTTTTTTTTTAATATAATCATTAATAATAATATTAAGAATTACAAATACTCATATAGAGTAGACATAGAATTTTACTATTAATAACTAACAGAGTTCGGTGATCTTTTAACAAACCAAAATAATTCATATTCCTTTAAACAATAAAACTAAAATAAAAAAAATATAATATTAAATCTCTCCGATTGGAGTTGATATTGACAAAAGATATAAATTTTCATAGTAGCACCTAATCCGTTAATTGATTTGGACATCAAAATAATAACTCATTTGTATATTCTATAACTGTATTATTTTCCCAATAATTTGTAAAATATGATGAACATAAATGAGTTCCCGCCACTATGCATCAATAGCATAAATTGAGGCACAGGCTGCACTATCAGACTTTGTTGATTGAAGATTTACACCTGCAAATCAAGATATAAAATCTCCAACAAAATAAAATCAAATATCATAATTTTATTTAGTAATAAACCCCCATAAATAATGGAGTACCCTCATAAAGAAGGAACAAAAAAAAAAAAAAAAAAATAAAGAAGGAACAAAAAAAAAAAAAAAAAATCCAAAGGAGACAAACCAAACAACAATAAAATAAACAAAAAAGAAGATCTAATAATATTAAAAAACAAACAGATTGAGTTTATTAAAGCAAAAGAAATCGAAAAAAAAAAAAAAAAAAATCCAAAACGGAGACAAACCAACAACAATAAAAATAAACAAAAAAGACAGATCTATTATAAAAAAAAACAGATTTGAGTTTATTAAAGCAAAAGAAATCGAAATAGAAAGTAAAAAGCAGGAGACAAAGACTACCGCTGATAAACAACGGCGACCATAAATTAAAACTAATGTTAGAAGACTAGAGCAAAAAGAGAAAAAATGAGAGCACTTTGTATCAGAGAGGTTGAGTGAGCTTAATGTTTAGCTTTTTATAAAAATTAATTAAATTTTTTTTGACAATTATACTCATTATTTTTTTTTCTATTTCAACTAATTAAACAGTTCATTATACAACTATTTTTACCGAATATATCTAATTTAAATGCTACATAAATAAATATCAGTTACTAAAATAATTAATATTGCCCAACCACGTTACTTCTTTCTTATGTTGAATGACAGTCATACGTCTATACCCAATAAATGAGTCCAATTAATTACAATAAAAGCTTTTTTGTTTTACTTCGTGGAAGAATATTCTAAAAATGTATTGTATATCATATTTCTGAATACATCAAACCTAAAAATGTTCCTATACAGTTTTTAACCTTTTATAAAAATTATAAAATATCGAATTATCTCAATTTAAAAAAACAAAAAATAAAATAAGGATAATTGACTTTATCAAATAGTAGCAACATCATAAGGCCAATGAATAGTTCATTTATCTAGGAAATGCAGTGATTTTATCAAATAGTAGCAAAATCCTCAAAACACGAATCTCTATCTCCTTTGCTAAACTTGTCTGCAAATTGATTCTATTTCAAAAATCAATAACCTCTTTTTTGGAATAAATTAATTCTATAAAATTTGGTGGAATTCATTTATAAATTTAAATATTTATATTTGATATGAAAAAAATAAAACAAATTTATCCATTTTTTATAAATGAATTTTACAAACTAAAACAACAAAGTTTTACTAAAAAAGTATTATCTTCCTCGCCTTTTAAACTTATTACCTCAAATGTTTTTTAGAAAATAAAAATAAATGAATTTTCAATGTATGAATGTATTTCATATTTTGAATTATTTTATACTAAACAGAGTGTTAATTATGGAGAGTAAAATTAACATGCTATAATTTATTGCAAATTTTTTTATACTTCGGATTGAAAATATTTTTTCATTTAGATATAAAAATAGTAAAAACTAAAAAATTCAGACACCGTTATATAATTACCTTAAAAAAATCAATTATTAGTCAAGATTGTCATATTGATTATCCTTTTTTATTCCTTTCAAATAATAAGAGCCATGAATAATATCAAAGAAGGATCTAATACATTATTATATTATATGGAAGGAAGGCGATGAAGGAAAATAATAAAAGAAAATAATGAAGTATTACTAAATTATTTCTTTTATAAGTTATTTTATCCTTTTTATATTTGGACGGAGAAAGAATAGAAAAGAGTAAAAATAAATTATATTGTATATTAAATAATGCAATTTTTGCAATTTATTTATTGCTTTCTCTCTAATTTTAAAAATATTCTAATTATGCAGCCCAGGAGAAAATTATGTTTCATTTTTTAATAATTTTTCTTATCATTTCTAAATAAGGGAAAATCCTTACCCTCAGTATTTTTCTCATATATATTCTATTTTCAAAAAAGAAAATTTCAATTTCCGAACAAAGTCAAAAGTGACTGAAGACGTTCTTTTCGTGCTCTTCTAGATATTGCTCGCTACTTGTAGATTTTCAAGCAACGGATTTTGACATGATTATTACTGGAGCTGACTTCACAAAGTTAGGACCAGAGAAAACTGAGAGAGTACTTTAGCTTTTTTATTAATATTTAATGATTAAAATAATATTTTTATAGAAGCACATTTTAAAAATATTTTAATGCATTTATAAAATAAAAAAATTAATTAATTAATTATCTCAAATTTCAAGGACTAAATAATAATTTATCAACTTTGTGTAAAATTTATGCAAACATAAAATGTTTTACTGGAGTGTTTATTATTCGGTTTAAAATTTATATAAACCAAATTCAGAATACTAATTTTATAAAGAATAATTTTGAATCGAATCATGATAGATATTCAGCTCAATTACATTATATTAATTTCGTTCTAATTGAATACATTTTTATGGTAACTAGATCCATAATTGAATGATATAGAATCAATTCAAATTAATCGAATTGATTCTTTGGAATTCGGTTAATTCAAATTAAATCAACTAATTTGTGCTTAAAGGTAAATTAGGTTATCTACATATGGTAATCGAACTAAAATCGAAAATAAAATAATTTTCTATATCAAAATCAATCGATAATCTAATTTATAAAATAACTATCTAAGTCCAACTAGAATGAATCAATTTGATTTTGTATTCAATTAGAAACTATATATTAAAACATTATGGTTAATCACCAACCTTATCATCAAACTTACCTAATATCAAAATTACCATGTCCACAATCCTTTGTCCTTCTAGAATTTACTCACTCAAATCACGAATCTCGCCGCATCATATTAAGAAGTAGACGGGCAAAGAGAAGAAATTGCATAGGAGATTAAAAACCAACAAAGGCAGTGTTTGACAATAGTTTTTTAAGTAGCGTTACATTTTGATTAGATAAATACAATATTCGATAACAGCTTTTTAAGTAGCGTTCAGTTAAAATGTTAAATGCAACTTAAAAAATTATTTGGTAATATAATATTTTGACTAACTCTTAGATAAACGGTTAACAACTAAACGCTGCGGAAACAGATGATAATTAATGTTGCCCGACAAACCTTTTGAAACCAACTTTTTCAATTAATTGACAGTTTGGCCAAGTGGTCTAAGGCGCCAGATTTAGGCTCTGGTCCGAAAGGGTGTGGGTTCAAATCTAACAGCTGTCACATGTGTTTAAAAAATTATTAATTTTTAAAAACTCCATTTTTAATTAATTTAAGTTGATTTCGAGCCGGTTTGATTAGGTCTAAATTGATTTTGAGCCCATTTAATTGGATTGACTTGGATTTAAAATAAATTTGCTAATTGGATTTTCTACCTCTAAACTAATCAGTAAGGAATTGCTAAATAACTGTTCAAATTCGACCAAAATTAATTGATTTTGATTTGATTTTCAATTAAAAAACCAATTTATTCACCTTAGGTTAGGTTATGAATCATATAACCAGATTCCTTAAATTATCACGGGCAATCACCAACTATATCACCAAGCTTACCTAATACCAAATGTACCAAATTGTACTCCCTTGTCCTTCCAAAGAATACTTGCACCATGACACGAATCTCGCCACATCACACCACACCACACCAAGACAATAAAAGAGCAGAGCGAATAAATTGCGAGGGAGATAAAAAAATCCACAAAAACCGGGCAAAAGCGCAAATGTCAAATGTTAAGGCCTACAAAAATAAATTTTTATCAAATCAAAATCAATCCATCCTGCTTGTCTCGATGTCAGAGCTCTGAAATTAAAAAAAAAAAAAAAAAAAAAAAAAAAAAAAAGCAGAGCCGAAATTAAAAATTGCGAAGGGAGATAAACAAAAACCACCAAAAAAACCGGGGCAAAAGCGCAAATGTCAATGTTTAGAGGGCGTACAAAAATAAATTTTTATCAAATCAAAATCAATCCATCCTGCTTGTCTCGATGTCCAAGAAGCTTGAAATTAAAAAAAAAAAAAAAAAAAAAAAGAAAAAGAAAAAAACCACACACAAAAAAAAAAAAAAAAAAAAAAAGAAAAAAACACACACACAACAAAAGCTCTCTGTCCGCTGCCTTCTTCGTCCCTAGCTCTTCATTTCCTCCTAATGAAACCCTAAATCCTCTTCGGATTACAGATCTTCTCTCTGTAGTCGTTTCATTGCTTCTCTTCTTCGTTAGATTTGAGCAAAAATGGTGGTTCAGTCTTTACATTGTGTAGATAATAGTGAAAATAGTAGTCCAAAAGGGAAAGTAGAGGCTGCAGTAGTGTCTACACGAAGAAGAGTGAGTGCGAGAATACAGTCAACAAAACTGAGAGCTGAGAAGGAGAAACTGGTGAGGAAAAGAGTGGAGTTGCTGGATGAGAATGAGGGTGGTGGTGATGGTAAGAAGAGGACTAATGTGTATACTAGAAGAAGAGTAAATGTTGAGAATCTGACTGAGGAGGTTGTGCTTGAGAAGACAGTCAGTGAAGTGGTAAAGCCTGCTGGTGAAGCTGTGAATTTGAATAATGGAGGGCAAAATGGGGCTGTTGGTGGTAGTGAGGGTGTTACTGGTGGTGTCAGTTGTGTTACAGAGAAAAGTGCACATGCTAGGGTTAAGGAGACTTTGAGGTTGTTTAACAAGCATTATCTCCATTTTGTTCAGGTTTGTTTCTTATGTGCTGAACTAATCTGTTGCAATTGAATTTTTTTTTTTTTTTGAATATAATTTTGATCGTCTCTCCGTAGAGCCTGACGAGTTTGACGCTTGCGGGTTTAACAATATTTTCTTCTTGTTCTATTTTCTGACCTGTATGCTTGGTAGAATCCCATCCTTATGCAAGATTTTGTTTTTATTTTCATTTTCTTTTTTATTTTTTGACTTTCTTTTTGTTGAATAGGAAGAGGAGACGAGGTGCCAAAAAGAAGAGGTTGATAAAAAAAAGGCTTCCAAAAGTAAAAAATCAAAGGTTAGAATTTGGTTTGCCGTTGGGTTTAATTTGTTTTCTTATTCGTTAGCGTTACTTTTGTTTTATTTTTCAAATCTTTGATCGCCATTTATGCCTTCTCTTTTTGTTATTGAAGTGGTACAAATTAGTATTGGTTAATCTGCAATCTATCAAGTGATAATATGAAGCGCCGCATTATGATCTGATTAGTGTGACGCAAAATGATTTTTTAATTTTTTTTTGTTCTAACAAAGTGTAGAACAATGGTGAGACCACTGATGTTATATGGGAGTAAATTTTAGGCTACTAAAATCTAACATATTCACAAGATGAATGTTGGAAAAATGTAGATGTTAAGATGGATATGATTATACAAGGTTGGATAAGATTAGAAATGATCACATTCTACAAAAGCCACAACTAATACACATTGGGATAAAAAAAAAGATGAGAGCATCTGAGGTGATTTTATCACGTTCTACATAGACCTCCAAGTGTGCCAGCTCATAAGTGCCCTACTTTGACAATGGAAGACGTTAAAAGGGAAGAGTAGACCTAAAATCACATAGGGGGAAGTTGTCTCAAAAGACCTACTATTTCTTGATATTAGTATGAACTTAGCTATGAACAGAGTTGAGTGGAAATCATGGATTCATTTGACCAACCCCGACTACCTTGGGATTAAGGCTTAGTTGTTGTTCCTTTTGTTTCTGGATGAAAATTTTCCTATTGGCTGAAGAATTCTAATGAGAAAAAGATGTTCTAGTTGTATCCATATGTTGATTTTATTGTTTTGATATATCCAATCCTAGAATGGAAAGGAAAACCAAGTTGTAGCCATATGTATAAGCATTTTGATTTGGCTACTGCTAGCTAAACAAAGCTGAAAAATTTTGCACCATGTTGTCGGTCCTACTCCATCCATATTTGCTGGAGCCATAGTTGCTCAAGTGTGATGTGTATGGTGTTGCGGATGAGGTATTGCAATTTGCTTTGGGTTTTGGATTTTCTGTTGTTGAGGTGCATATTACAGCCCTTGAGATCTGCTTATTTGACTGGGATACCTAATGAAGTTTGAAATGGATTTTTGTGTTGGTATACCGGTTTTTTTTGTCCAATTTCAAATTTTGGATTCAATTATGTAATTTTGTGATATTAATCTACTGTAGGTGTGCTACTGCAAGTATTATGGCAGCTTAAATGTTGATATGTCCTCTTGAGCCATTTTTCTTTTTGTATTAAGCTGGTTTATGAACTTGTGTAGAAAGGAAATGCAACTAAAGTAGATGCTAAGAAAAAGGCCAAGCGTCCTGATTTGAAGGCAATATCCAAGGCAAGTGAAGAGTCATTGTTTTAAATCTTAGCCATTTCTATAATGTTCTAGAAGGTTGAATTTTTATCAATAATTCAATATGGTTCTGTTGGTTCTGACTACTTGTCTGAGTTTGACATGAATTGAAATATCTTGATAGTTTCTCCCTCTTGTGTTTACATGTAACATCATATGTTGCTACTGACAGTGTTTCTCTTTTTAAAGTTTCTAATTCTACTGATTATTCTTGATATTGGCTTCTATTACCCATCACACTTGGATGGAGTTCATTATGAGCTACTTATCATCAGACTATCAATTTTCGTTGGCAATTGTATTTGGAGTTTGGATGTCAGTTGAAGATGCAATGATTATAATTAGATGGAGCTTTTAGGTTGAGTGTTATTCTAATATGATATTAGAGTCTCCTTGATTTGAAAATCTAGAGTTCAAAATCTGGGTCAGCCTCATCTGCATGATCTAAATTTTCGTGAGGTAGAGGTGGGATTGTATTTCTCCAGACATTCAAGTTCAGTTGTTTCTTTCTTGGGCTGTGTGCTAAAGATATAAAAACTTAATACTTGGCTCAGCTTTAAGCTTGAACTTTTCAGTTTAATGTTATTATATAGTAATGGTGTCAATTTTTTTTTCTTGGTTCAATCACAAATTAGTTTACCATCTTTAAGGAAAGAAGGTTGTTTATATTAGTTTTTTGGAACTTTCAATTATGCAATAATATCTTTGTCCCACCTCAAATGAAAATTTTTGCAGATGCTCGAGACTAATGCTATAATGTACCCTGAGAAAAAAATTGGTGATCTTGCAGGTTTGATGCTTTTAGTCTTATTCTTCTTTTGGTTGTTTGCTATTTTATACTTCTGTTTGGCCTGAACTTGTTAGGTTCTGGCGTGTATTTTAAAGTTTGACAAATGTTGATTCTCAGTATCTAACTTTCATGTTTGTAAATTGTGATTTGTGGGTTTCAATGACAGGTATCAATGTTGGACATCAGTTCTATTCAAGGGCTGAAATGGTTGCTGTTGGTTTCCATAGCCATTGGCTGAATGGAATTGATTATATGGGCATGTCATACAGCAAGGTGGTTATCTTTATACTGCTAATCATCATTTAATCATTATCATCTTTTCTATTAGAAAACCTTAAGCTGGAAGATATTCGCAGTTGATGCATTTATTGATTGGTAGTTTTTTTTATGGTTATAATGACAGTGACTTTTGGAATTGATTTTTTTCACTATCTCGCAAATCATTCTATGGATGCGTTTAACTTTGTTAGGGTCTGTGGATTGGGGTGATCTTACATCTATACATAATGCTTTCATTCACGTTGCCTGTTGTACTTGTAGTATATCTGGATTCATATTATATGTTGGAAGATTGTTATATGCTAGATTGAGAAGGACTTGCATGATGTATTCTTTGGATGTGTTATGCCTGTTCATTATGATGTATCGTGTTGTATTTCGTGTAAGGATGAATAGGGAAATCTTCTTCAATGGCTGAAGTCTTTCCCTCGTGATTTTTGCCTCGCCATATGGTGACTGCAAATGAGAGCTCGTTGGAGGGAGCTCTATAAACCTGAATACTCGTTAGAGGAGAGTTTCTTAGATCTCGTAACATTAGAAATAATAATAATCTGCTTCTCCCTTTATTGATTAATTGCGACCCCTTTTATATGGGAGACTTACACTTATTAAAGATTCCTAATACAATTAGGAGTTCCAACTAAATAGGACTTGGAAAAGGAATTTTACTTAAACTAAAACAGGAACAAATTACTAACTGCAGCAAAAATCAACTCAAGCTAAAATAAGGAAGAAATTGCTAGTTGCAGAATCAGCAACATGTGGTCCACGACGCTGTTAACTCTTGCCTACAAATGCGTCCGTAACATATTGCTTTTTTGGGGTTTATCAATGGTTTGAGGTTAGGTTCTTGTTTGATGTAGCCGTCTCTGTGAAAGGGTCACTTTTAAGATGCAAGCCTTTTGGATTGCCTCACTGGACGTTTACCTATTATCAATAGTGCTTTCTTGCCAAGAGAAGCTAATCACTTGTGTCCGTACAGTTTACACTAGCTTGGTGATTCTCTTGAAAGTGAAAGTGTCCAAATTTAGCAACTCTGGACGTAGTATAATGTTTATACGTATTTAATACATGTTTGAACAGGAAGTAAACAGAAAAAGTTCTCTAAATTCCTATGAATGACAACATGAACTCACAATCTAAATCACATCCCAGTTTGGAGGATGTACAATGCATGCCAATGCATTAGTAGACTTGAGCAAGTAAAAAGGCTTGAAATTGAAGTTAAAAATCTGAAGGAAATGCTCTAGTTAGATGTGCATGCCATTATGGCATAGATTATGCATTCCCTTCAAATGGCTTACAGTGAGATGGAGGGTGCTTTTGCCTTGGTCTTGGTACTGCCTTTGGTTAAAATTGGTAAAATGCTATGGTCGGGACCATTGTCACTTACATGGGCTTTGGGGATTTTATTTTAGTTTTCTCTCTCTCTCTCTTTCTCTCTCTCTCTCTCTCAATTTCCCATTATTGAGATGGCAAGATGATTCTATCAACACTTGATATTCTTTTTAATATCTTTTGCTTCCTTTTATTGAGTTTTTGATCCCCATCGTGCGCCTAGTTTCGGAATTTTTTCAAATTGGATTGCTTGACTTGCTCCCCCATCCCCTCTCCTCGCGCACGCACACGTGTGCACGTGGAGACGCCCCATTTATGAAAAAAGAGCTGTGCAGGAGGGGGGCATAATTTCTTTTTCTTTTTTTTTTTTTTTTCATATGGTGTTTATTATCCATTATAGTTTTGTTATTCTTGTAATTCAATAATTGATCTTTAATGTGGAGGATCTCATTTGGTCGAGTTTACTCTTGAGGCAACTGATGAGCTTATTCTTCAGAGATCTGCTTGCATATTGGCATATTTGTTAAAATCATTTCCATTTGGAGTTGCAGGAGTATGCTGATTATACATTTCCTCTCGCCATAGCCATTGTCTTGTCAGGAATGTATGAGGATGATTTGGATAATGCAGAGGATGTTATTTATACCGGTCAAGGTGGGCATGATTTAACAGGAAATAAACGCCAAATACGTGACCAAGTTATGGAGCGTGGTAATTTAGCACTCAAGGTATGTAATTAAGTCCAAAAGAATCCTTATTTTATGTGTATTTGTTATAGAATCTCATGAATGGTGTGGGATTTCATTTCATTGGAGGGTGGTCCATATAGGCCCGGCCTAGGCTAGAATTTTTTGAACACTAGTCGCATGACATTCATATACTCAATTTTAGATTAGTCCTCAAGGCCTTTTCTAAATCTATTATATATTAACTTTTACATGCATTTGTTAATCAACTTGTGTATAAGTCTAGATGGCTAAACAAATTCTGGATGCTAAAAACATCAAGCATTATATGGTTATCAAACAATTAGGTTTTGTTCTCTTTTTATACATGGGTGCATTTATGTAGTGGTTGTGCATTTATGTGGTTTTGTATGAATTTAAGTGCAATGCAATTTTTTTGCCAATGCAATCAAGAATCTTCAGTCCAGGGCACCAGAGACTTGGTTGCTGTTCCAAAACAAAGAGTCCTTGCAACAAAGTAGATGTTCAAAATAGTATCAATATAAACACCAAAACAGTCTTGCCCATTGTAGTGACTTCTGAGTACTGTGAGTTATTTTGAGGGACAAGGGAAATTTCTTTCTTTCTTTTCTTTTTCATTTTTCTTGCGAACCTGTTTCTGTTTCCGTCAACTTTTAACTAAGTAAATAATTTTGAGGAGAACTACACTAAAGGATTTCCATTTGTCCTGTCCAACATCTCATCCTGAATTATCTTGCTCTAACTATTGAATAAGATACATATGTATACACACGCACACGCACGTACACCCCTTTCTACCGTTGTTTTATTATTATAAACTTTTAGTTAAAATCTTTTCATAGCAGCTTCATGAGCGAAAAATGGACCCTTTGCTGTGGCACAAGTTTTTCAAAGAGCTTACATGGAAAATTGGTTTTCACTTTATGAATTACATAGCAATGGGGTTTCAGATAAGTAATCCATCTCAACTCTCTCCTCCTAGCTGGTAGTCTTCGCATTTCAACGCCATCTTATCCGGAAAATCTAAACCTAAAACTTTGGAAATGGCCTTTTAAATCCCAATCTTAAGCATTCTGCATAAAACATTTTCCAAGCCACATCTTCTGTGTGATTGCAGACAAAGATTTCAAAATGGCATCTTTAGTCAACCGACAAGAAAAGGTCAGGAAATCAGCCTTTTACTGGAGACATGCCACAATTGTTGCAAGACCAAAAAAATTTGGATTCTTCACTACAGCTTAGTTGTAACCGCTAAGTTGACATTTTACTTCTGCTTGTCATTGCAGAATTGTGTAGAGCAAGGTGTTCCTGTGCGAGTTATTCGAGGCCATGAATCCGCCAGCAGCTACAGTGGAAAGGTTTACACATATGATGGTTTGTACAAGGTAAAATTCTCTAGCAAATGTTAGGATTTGTGACTCTGTGTAGTTTGGATTATTGCGAACTTTAATTTTTCAGTATGAATATGCCATCCTCCATGGACATGGAGATAGTATCTGATAGCTGCTAATCAAGGTTTCATAATATCTGAAAATGAATCATAGATTTGTATTTTTTTTTTTTTTTGTCCTTTCCTAAGTGTGCTTGTGCTGATAAGTTGAACTTTAGAAGTCATCTGGTCTTTGAAATATGAATTTGTCATGTAATTGGCTCAAAAAGCAGGATGTAGTTGCTGAGATTTTTCCTCTCTTAATCTCAATTACCTGCTTTGGTTTTCTGTGGTTTTGCTGTTAATTAAGTTCTTAATTGTATAAAAGCTTTCACACTAGATGGTTCAGTTTGCTGTGTGAGAATGTTAGTTTTTTGTTTTTTTTTCCCCTTCAGTTTTATGCTGCACGCAGAATGGTTGTTGGGATTTGGCTTTCAAAGGCCCAACAAAGTCTAATGATCAGACGACTGATGAAAGGCTTTTCCCACAATTGAACTTAGACTACATTCTTAACAGCCAGACTTTTCTTATGATGGTTCTGCTCTACCTTATTCAACTTGGCAATTTGGCCCATTTATATCTGCTTTGCTGGATGAAATAGGCTGCAAGGGCAGTTGAAAATACCTAAATTACCTCTGTTAATGAATATGTTGCTTTCTCTATATTCCTTTTGCTTGGGTTTATTGTAAATATATATTTTTTAAAACTTTTTCAAGCTTGATAGAGGGTGTTATGAATAAAGTTTTTAATACATATTTCTTCATTCTGCTATTTTCTAGGCAAACATTTCTCTTTTTCATTGTATGTATATCTTTTCCTCTGAGAGCAGTTATGAAGTCTATTATTATGCTAATAGCAACATTTCTCAGGTAGTTCAATATTGGGCAGAGAAAGGAATATCTGGTTTTACTGTCTTTAAGTATCGACTGAGACGGTTTGAAGGACAGCCAATATTGACCACTAACCAGGTTTTTTATTTTTTTATTTATAAATTGGTTATAATTCAATCGCAGCCACAATACTTTGTTTTGTTGCCTGACATTTGGTGGAAAAATTTGGAGAGAAACCATTTTGAAAAGTGAAAAGTGCCCATAAGCTGCCCAAGTCCCTTTGTTTCCTGTGAGTTTATTATGGAAAAATATTTTCTTCTATTTGATTCATCAATAGGGACACATATATATACACATACAAGATACTATAAACCTATTAGAAATCTCTGAGAAGCAGTTATGAAGTCTATTATTATGCTAATAGCAACCATTTCTCAGGTAGTTTCAAATATTGGGCCAAGAGAATAGGATTATCTGGTTTTACTGTCTTAAGTATCTTGACAGAGACGGGTTTGAAGGGACAGGCCAATAGTTTGACCACTAACCAGGCTTTTTTTTATTTTTTTATTTATATGAAATTGGTTTATTTATTCAATCGCATGCCACACATACTTTGTTTTGGTTGCCTGTGAACATTTGGTTGGATAAAATTTGGAGAGAGAACCAATTTTGAAAAGTGAAAGTGCCCTATAACTTGCCCCAAGTCCTTTGTTTCCTTGTGAGTTCTAATTATTGAAAAATATTTTTCTTCTATTTTGATTCATCAATAGGGACACATATATATACCATACAGATACTATAAACCTATTAGAAAAATCTAAACTCTTAATAGAGTTCTTATTACAAACTCCTAAATAGAGTTCTATCTACAATAATTTCCTTAAACACTCCCCCTGAAGTTGGAGCATAGAATATTAATATTTTGCCCAACTTGTTAATTAAGAATAGTTAACCCGAGGTTCCCATTTAGAGCTTTTGTAAAGATTATCTCCTAACTTTTCACTATTGTTTTAAACGGTGTCGCTGTAGAGATAACACCCGTTGTAATCTTTTCAACGAATGAAATGGACAATCAATTTCATCGATAATGTTTGGTTCGTGTCATGGATACTGGATTTGATGCAATGTGAAGAGCAGCTTCGATTATACACCATATGAAATTTGGCATTGGCAAGGATGATACTTGAGCCAAATTCCGTCTTAAACAACTGACGATCCAAATTAACTCACAAGCAGATTATGGACATACGCTCGATATTCTGAATTCAGCACTTGATCGTAAGACTACAGTTTTGTTTCTTGCTCCGTCCATTCGATAATTAGGTTTCCACCTAGCAAAAACACAATATCCTGAAGTTGATTCTTCATTCAAACCTTCGAAACTCTGCCCAATCCGCTATCAGAAAACATTCAATGTTCAAATGCCTAATGATTACTTGTAAAAGCCAGGCCACGACCTGGATTATCCTTCAAGTGGCATACAAATCCTGTCTCTAAAGCTTCCCAATGGGATAACAGTAGGAGTTAAACATAACTGGCTTACAGATGCTGCACAGATTTTGGAGAGTAAGCTATCTGGACCGTGTTTACGGTAGATAAGTTCAGATTTGCCCACCTAACCTTCCTAATAAAATACATTCTCAGGGGGATCGATCTAAAGATGACTCACCCATGCAATGAAGAGTTGCAATGATTAGGAGTCATTGGAGCACTGCATGGTCTTTGGCACCTACCCAACTTTCCAGTTTCCTTTAGTAAGTCAAGAACATACTTCCTTTGAGAATAAGAAGATGCCTCTCTTACACCTAGATACTTCTATACCCAAAAAATACTTCAACAATCCTAAGTCTTTTGTCTGGAACTGAGTTTGGAGGAATGACTTGAGTGATGTTGCCTGCAAAATCACTCCCTGTAATAACAATGTCATCGACATAAACCACAAGTAGAATCAAACCAGTTTTAGTACTTCTAAAAAATATAGAATGATCAGAAGTACTCTTTTGCATGCCAAATTGGTGTACCACATTGCAATGCGCAATTTGATTGTAACACATTGCAAAATCTGAACCAAAACCGAATGCTCGAGCGACTGTCTGTTTAAAGCCATAAAGAGATTTTACGAAAGTTTACACACTTTACTCCGATCTCCCCATGATGCAACAAGCCACTGGTGGTTTGCTCTATGTAAACTTCCTCACTGAAGATCCCCATGAAAGAAAGGCTAATTCTGTAACATGGGTCTAGCTGATGTAAAAGGCCAGGTCAAAAGTGGCTTGCTAAAGAAATAAATAAACGAACAGAAGACAATTTGGCGACAGGAGAAAAAGTATCAGAATAATGTAAGGCATAAATCTTGAGAATAGCGCCTTTGCAACTAATCGAGCCTGAAGACGAGCAACGAGTCCCATCAGGGATTCACTTTAACGGTGAATCCGACATTACAAACCCAATAGCCTTCTTAGCCTGCCGGGAGTAAGGCACAAGATCCCAAGTTACCATTGTAATCTAAGGCAGACCAATCTCCTCTTTCATTGCTGGCCCACACCAACCAGGATGGGACATAAGCTTGGACAACAGTGGTTTAGGTATAAGATGACAGAGTCTAGGTTACTTACAAAACGAACGTAGATGAAGATATGAGAAGGATAATCATAACTGACAAAGAAGGAAATAGGATAGCGGACATACCTTGCGTTTACCTTTTCGAAGAGCAATGGAAGGTCAAGGTCTGACTGGGGAGTGGATGGCACAAGCTCAAGTTGAGTGGAGAGAACCAGATCTTCTGTTGAAGCGGCAGGTGGAGGAAGTGAGTCAAGAGTTCTTAGTCTTCTGGAATAATCCTGTTCAAAACGAGGGCATGCAGATGTTGGTGCATGAGCGGGAATAGGAGCAGCAGACGCTGAAGCAGGAGCAGATGCAAGTTCAGGAATAGGAGCAGGAGCAGGAGAGTTGTGAAATTGCTGGATAACATAGACTAAAAGCTCATCATCCTCCCCCTCACTTCTCTCTCACTTCTTATTTATTATAGAAGAAGGGTGAAAAATGGAGTATCTCAAAAAAATGTGACGTCGTACGAGAAATATATAACGGTCTAATGATCGGGATGTAGAAACACGATAACGGCTTTTTGAGGTCGAGAAATTACCAAGGAAAACACAACGAAGGGACCTGTTATCCAAGATTGGAAACCTGTGGACGAACATGCAACGAACCAAACAAGTACAAGCCAAAATACGAGTTCCAATGGAAACTAGAAGCTTATGGAAGGAAACAAGAACATTATAAGAATTTCCACCATAAGCACAGAAGAGGAGCATGGCGATTAATCAAAAATACTATATGCAGATAAGAGACAAGCCATTAGCTCTCAAAATGTTTATGGGACCTTTTCATTTGGATAGAAGTGCCCTAGCAACCGTTCAAGAAGATGTCATTTTCTTTCTGGCCACCTCCCATTTTGAGAAGGAGTATCAACCAAAGATGTTTGATGTGACGAATATCATCTTGTTGAGATAATAAGATTGGAAGACTAGATAAGATATATTCTTTTAGCATTATCACTGTGCTAATATGCGAATAGATGTTTAATACTTGAGTTAATTTCAGACAAAAGGAACAAAATAGAGAAATATCTCAGAACGAGTTCCATTAAAATTATTAACAATAACTCGAGATATATCTAATCCACAAGTCACAAAAATAATTCCTGAAGCTTCCATTTGTAATGAAATATACTAGTATGTGGAACTCCCAAACATCAGAATGAACTAAACTCAAAAGTGGGATGAAACCCGTTTATTTATTCTGATGGATACTAAAGGTAATGAGATGTTTTGGCAATTGGTTACAAGAGATGGAATAATGCGGACATCAACTTCTTTATAAGTAGACAAATAGAGGATGACCTCAATACGACAATGAATCTCAAGAGGAGAATAGACCACCTTAGCAGAGCAGAGATTATGAATCTGTGTTCATGTCCAGAAGATTATAGGTCTCCTACCTTAGATCAACGTCCTCTACATATTAATTCCGCTTCCCGCAAGGAAGTCTGAAACACACAATAATGTAGGCATAAAATTGTAATTCCACAACAATTTAGTATATCGAGTTATAATTTTTGCTAACCCGACATAGATTAATGAAAATCATTATGAGGCAAGCAATAATAACATGAAGTACAATGGAAGTAGGATGTAATTGGAATTGGCAGTGCCATATCACTGACGAAGATGTGGACCCATCAGCTAGAGTAACATTGACGATTAATAGTTTATGTTTTTTTTTATGAGGATAAGAGACTAGGGTTTACCTTTGTTATGTGATCTGTTGCACCAGAATCAATGACCCACTCGATGAAGGTAGTACAGTAAGTACATGAAAGTAGTTACCTGAATTGTGCACGCAGCAGCAATTTGAGGATCAGTAGACTTAGAAGAATGGTATCTTATGAAGACTCAGCATATTTTCCGTAGTCAGAATATTGTTTATCAGTGTTATTCAGGAAGAATTGTTACTGCAAGAATCTTGAGTGGCCATAATCTTGAGTGGCCATATTTACCCTTGGTGGCTTATTGATCAGTTTCTTGCAATACCGTTTAGTGTGACCAGGTTCATGGCAATAATGGCAGATAAGAATAGTTGCCTCCCTAGTAATTGGTCCATTACTATGGTTATTTCCTCCTCTTCCTCTATTTCCTGGCTGCCTGGATACCTAATGTCGACTCACAAGGGCACTATTATTAGAAGGGGAAGGGGTATGAGAACCCTCAGTTCGTAACAATCTAGCAAAAGTCTCCTGAAGAGAGGTAACATCACTGCTTGAAAGAACCTGTGATTTGGCAGCAGTTTCAAAAACGCGAAGCAAGACCTGCAAGAAAACTCATCACAACCATTTGTTCTCACTGGGTCTGTTGAACCTTTTACATCGGGCAATAAAACATTAAGCTCCTCGTAAATCTTCTTAAATTCCATGAAATAGGCTGTAAGGGGCTTATCTTGCTGGTTGGCTCGATAAAATCCTTTGCAGACCTCGTACATGCGCTACAGATTACCTTTTCCCGAGTACAAAAATTCAAGATACTCCATTAATTCTTTAACAAACTCACAATGATTGATTAACCCAACCACTTCACTGTCAATAGAATTGCGAATCTGGAGAAATAACTTAGCATCTTCCCTGAGCCAATGTTGTCGAGTGTCATTAGTTGGTGGATCATCAGTGAGATAATCATCTTTTTCAACACTCCATAAATAAATTCTAATTGTCTTACTCCAATCTAAATAGTTAGGTCCTTTAAATTTATGTTCTGTGATTTTATTCATTGCTGGGATCAATTCAGTAATGGTAGTTTTAGAATCTGTAGGTGTAGGATTCATTATTAATAAAAACTAAACACCAAAAACTAAACACCCTACCAGCAACGCAGAAAGAGATACCGAAAAATAAATAGCCTTTCAACCGCAAACAGGACAAAAAAATAACCTGAAACGCAAATTGACAAAATTGAGAAATGCCCCTACCAAAACTTCGCTGGATTAGAAAAATAACCACCTGAGAGACCTGCTGAAGTGGAAACGAAGCCAGAGAAAAATTCCCGATCGCTGGAAAACAGCCGAAACGCGCCTCCACGCGCTGCGCGTGGTAAGCTGTAGCAGAAAAACAAAAGGCGGCGCGTGAGGCCCACGCGTGGGAATCGGTGATGGGATTTGGATGGAACGCGATCGCAGCCGGGGAAGGGAATCCGGTGACCGGATTTGGATGGAACGCCGATCGGCAGCCGGGGAACCTTCTGAGGTAGGCGGTGAGACAAAACGGTGACCCTAGAACTGTCACCGAGACTAACAGCCCTGGACAGCCGCCGGAAATTCAACGCAAACGGAAAAAAGAAAAAGGTTTAACGAGCCAAAGGCTCTGATACCATGTGAGTTTATTATGGAAAAATATTTTCTTTTATTTGATTCATCAATAGGGACACATGTATATACACATACAAGATACTGTAAACCTATTAGAAATCTAACTCCTAAATCCTTAACATTTCCTAAGGGGTACTTAGTTGCCATGCTTGATGCTTGCCTAGGCAAAGTAAAGAGTTATTTCAAAATACAAAAATCGTGTAAACCGAAATGAATTACCAATGCATAAATCATCTACCGGCACCATCAAATTGCAGTTTTTATTCAGAATAAGCTTTAAAACATCATATGTGCCTCATAATTAACAAGACATTAAATAATAGCAAGTCTCCAAAGCAATAGAACCAAATGCAAATTTACATAATTAATCTGCTAGAGAGTGGTTTTGGTCTAATGGTAAAGTTTATTCATTTGTAAACTGGAGGTTTTAGGTTCGAGACACAGAAACAACCTTTGCAAAAACAAGGAGAAGGATGTATACATTAACCCTTCCTAGAGCATCTCAATGTGGGATGCTTTGTGATTGAACCTCTGAAAAAAAAATCTACTAATGTATCTGATGTATACAAGTTCCAAGATGTATGAACTTAGAAAATTAGAGAAATTTTATTTGATGCCTTTTTCTTTCCAATTCTTGGTTATAAGTTTCACATTTTGTATCATATCATTTCAACTCTCCTCAGATATGAGATTTGTTCATTCTCATGGCAGGTCCAGTTTATTTATGGGCGGGTTCCCCAATCAATTTCAGAAATTAGAGGGTATAATTAATGCATTACGTTATGAAATTAGAACTGGTCTATTTGGCATTCTCATTTCAAAATTTATTTTAAGGTTTTGCTTTTTCTTTGGCTAAGGTTGGTTTGTGAGGATATTAGTGGCGGTCGGGAGGATGTTCCTATTCCGGCTACAAATTTGGTTGATGATCCACCTGTACCACCAACAGGCATGTTAAGCTTTAACATTTGATGGCTATTTTTTGCTAAATATATAACATGCCCAATTAAGAGATTAACCAATGTTTGCTTGCCTTATTTCTGGTATTTTAATTCACATAATCACTTACTAATTCTTTATTAGTATCATGGACTCTGAAGAATGGATTATGACAAAACAAAACATGAACTTAGTGGGTTTTTTTTTTTTTTTTGTTTTTTTTGATGTTTTATTCTTTCCCCCTTCAAGTTTGTGCAACATCTAAGAAATGATGTCCCTCATGTATGAATTATATTTTAGGTTACTTGGTGCTTTGTTTGTCACTTTATAGGCAACTTTTTTTTCATCTTTGAGGATTGTACTTATAAGAAAATAGTAATATAGCACAATTTTGCAAACTTATTCTTTCTTTGTTTGTAATCATTATGTTTTTTGTATTTTGAACTAATTCGTTGGCCTTTTTTTTCCCTTACCACTGTGTTGTTTGTATTATTATCACGTATCTTGAGATGCTATTAGAAGGCCTAAAACGTAAATTTGTTTACTTTCCCATTGAATTCTTGAATGCTTCAGGTTTTACTTACCGCAAGTCTCTTCAAGTTTCCAAGAGCATTAAGCTCCCAACCAGTGCCGTTGGGTGTGATTGTAAAGGAGGCTGCGTGGATCCTCGGACATGCGCTTGTGCTCAGCTTAATGGCACTGATTTTCCCTATGTGCATAGAGATGGTGGCAGGTTTGTGTGGTGCAATATATTGGGAAATTTTTTTAATTTGGATATAACAACAATAACAATTAACAACTACATTTTAATCCTTGCCTAGTTGGGGTTGTCTAAATGAATCCTTTGTTTCTTTACTGTCTGTTCATAACTAAATTATACTAATGCCAAGAAATAGTAGGTCTTTCAAGACATCTTTCCTTCATGTGGTTCTAAGTTTCACTCTTCCTTTCTTAATGCCCTCTACCTTCGATGTATCACATTTTCGAGCTGGGGCATTTTTGGGTGTCTATGTAGAATATTATCATACCATCTCAAATGCCTCATTTTATCCCAATTTGTGCTACTTTCACCTTTTAATGGATATGGTCATTTTCAATATTGTTCAATCTTATATGACCACATATCCATCTTAATCATCACGAGCACTCATCTTGTGCATTTGTTGGACTTTGGGTACAATATTCACCTTATATAACATCATAGGTCTTATTGTCGTTCTATAAAACTTGCTTTTCACTTTGTAAGATATATTCCTATCGCATGGTACACTTGTAGCACTCTTCCATTTCATTTATTTTATTTTAATTCTATGAGTTACATCTTCATCTATTGTGCCATTCCTTTGAAATATAGAGCTTAAATATCTGAAATGATTGCTCTTTTACAACAATACCATCCAATCTCACTACACCTTGATTCTTCTTGTAGGGTCTAAACTCACATTAAATGTATTTTATCTTACTTTTGCTTGATCTAAAATCCTTCTCTTTCAAGAGTGCTTGTCCATTGTTTCAGCTTTTGGCTCACTTCATTGTTAGTTTCATTGGTTAATGTTTTCTGCAAAGAGCATGCACCAGGAAATATAATTTTGTATGCTATGGTTTGCTAATCCATAACTAGGGTAAATAAGTATGGGGTCGAGGCAGATCCTTGATATAGTCTTACAGTTATGGGGAATTTCTTTGTATTCCCTCCTACTATTCTCACACTTATGCTTGCACCTTTATATATATCTTTAATGACATTTGTATATTTGATGTGAATTTTTTTTTCTCCAGCCACCACCAAAAGACTTCTCTCAGTACTTTATGATATGCTTTCTCTAGGACAATGAATGCTATGCGTAGATCTTCCTCTCTCTATGAAATTTTAGTTTAGCAAATTATAGCCGCTGCGTATATCTACCAAGCATAAAGCTGACAATCCTGTAATGTCTCTTAGTCTATGTTCTATTGCTCTTTCCTAAATCTTTATCATGTGACTTATAAGTTTAATATCACGGTAGTTTGTACAATTTGAATAATTCCATGGTTTTTATATATAAGAACCAAAGTGCTCTTCTTTTACTCATCTAGCATCTTTCCACCTTTTAATATAACATCGAACTTGGTTAACCAAGCAACTACAACGTGCCTAAAACTATTATGGGCCTCTGTAGCGATACCATTTGGGCTACATGTCCTTCCAACGTTCATATTGTCCATTGCCTCCTTGACTTCAGTCTTCAATAGGCCTACTATTCTATAGTGTAGTTAAGGTTTCGGTTTGTCACCAACGTATGAAGATTTGCAAAGTCATCCTTGTTGCTTCTGTTGTAAAACTTGTCAAAATAGGATCTCTATCTCTCCTTGATCTCTTTATCTCTTGTCAAGACTTGTTGAGAATCGTCTTTAATACGCTACTTTAGGTCCTCATCCCTTTTATGTTTCAATTGTGCTAGTTTGTACATTTTCTTCTCCCTCTCTTGTGTTTCCCAATTTTGGTACAAGCCTGCTAAGGCTTTGCCTCGGGCTTTGCTAATTGCTTCCTTAGCTTATCTCTTCACTCTCTTTTGTTCTTTAGAGGCATCCCATCTTCTGCTTTTGGTAACTTCCTATATCAATCTTGTTTTTTAAATTTGAACAGTAAGCTGAATTTTATTTGTTCTTTTAAGTTATTGTATTATACTATTGGCTTCTTTCATTTATTTTCAGGCTGATTGAAGCCAAGGCTATTGTCTATGAATGTGGTCCAAATTGTGGCTGTGGACCACATTGTGTCAACCGGACATCCCAGAGAGGATTGAAATATCGTTTTGAGGTTTCATTATTGTTTTATTCTGAGTGCATACTAAAATGTTCAGTAGTTTCACTCTTTTTTAATGGTTATGTTCAAATATTCTATTGGTTTCTACTTCAGGTTTTTCGTTCTCCAAAGAAAGGCTGGGCGGTAAGATCATGGGACTTTATACCTTCTGGGGCTCCAATTTGCGAGTATGTTGGAGTGCTTATGAGAACAGAAGACTTAGACAGTGTTTTAGATAATAATTATATTTTTGAGATTGACTGCTTGCAGACCATGAGTGGCCTTGGTGGAAGAGAGGTACCCTTTTTCTGGAAATAATTTTGGATGAATGACAAAAGTTCCATATCTCCTTTAAAATGTACTTGTGAACTTTTGCTACTTTTAGAAGTGAAATTGTATACTTTGATTTTCCACCTTTTCTATTCTCTAATCTTCATGTGCATTTCAGTTTTGCACCTGCTAAATCAAATTACCTTTTTGTCTTTAGTCTTTACCTTCTAAGAGAAACAAGTGTTCAGTTGGCCTTTTTAAATTTTTTGGGAATCAAGAGCCGGTCTTTTTTAAAAAAAGAATAGAGGCTAACATGTATGTTCGAATTACAAAGTCTTAGTTTCACTGATGATGATGCCACCTATCAAATCCCGGGTGTATTATTTTTTTAATGAATGGACTAAACTGTAACGAATTTAAAAATTGAGCACTATGTGATTTCCCTTTAAGGATGTGAAGATTTAGTGTATATTTTGAATTTTTTCTGCAGAAACACAGGCTTGCAAGATTGTTGAAATTCTGTAATGAAAGGCTATATAGAGGATAAAAGGTAGGTTTAGGACAAGTGTAGGTGGAAAGGATAGGAAAATGGAGTGCCAAATGCCACGGTGCCAGAACGCCGTAGCCTTTGGCACCCGTGTGGCACCTAGACTTAGGTCATAATCTAGGCCAGCCATGCCTATTCTGAGGGTCTATGCATATTCCGAGGGTCTTTGTATAATATCCGACTGTAGGACTCATCTTGCAATATATATATAAGGGTCTCGCACAACCGTGTATGAGCTCATGTCCTTAGGGCAACTCGGGCAGCATAGAACTGCCTATACCGAAACTTTCACTTGCGGAGAGATGCGCACTATAGGCCTTCAGCCCTATAGTGTCTATAGAGCATATTCTCTATGGAGACATCAGTCCCTTTTGATAGAACATGATGCCCGCATCCTAGCTCACTAGGGCTCGGCCCCGGGGCGGCAGAAAGCATTACGTCGGGTCTCTCCTCTCATATTCTTGGTCCAAATACCATCTAACATGCTATTCTCATCTCCAATAGCCTTACTTTGTCCATAGTGTCACCATGATATGACACCATGGGTAGGGAAGCCTCCATTGTTGCCATTGGCAAAGTATTTTACTGTTAACCAAGTCATTCAATGCATACACCACCATCTAACCAGCACTAACCTTGGAGACATATTTGTGTAGCTGGGTGCACAGTGGAACCTGAATAAAGTTTTCTGTGGTTGTGATTTTCCCTTTTATATTTTTGTTTTTACCCTTGATGTACTCAATTTTTTATTATCTAATTGCTTTTCCCCACAGAGGCGACTTGGAGATGTGTCTGTACCAACCATTAACAACTCAAATAGACCCGAAGATCAGAAGTCTGAAAGTGTGCCAGAATTCTGCATTGATGCAGGTTCCACTGGAAATATTGCCAGGTTCATTAATCACAGTTGTGAGCCTAATCTGTTTGTTCAGTGTGTTTTGAGCTCACACCATGATCTGAAACTTGCTCGGGTAATGCTATTTGCTGCAGACAACATACCCCCTTTGCAGGTAATAACCATGTTCTTTCGCCATATAAACGTTTTCTACATTGAAGCTATGAAACATGTGCTCACGATAAGATCCATTACTTGATGTAGATAAACATGTGATTCAGTGTGTGGTTTATCTTAAAAATCCGTGTTAGGATCCTAGTTGCAAGACAAGGTATGGACTTGTTTGGATCCCACATTAGAAGTATGAGATTTATATGAACTTGGGCTCTCCAACCTTAATGACTAGTTATTGAGATATGGTGCTCCCAAGGTCATAACAATTAATATCAAAGGCAATTGCTGCTTCTCTTGGTTGCAATCTAGCGGCATAAGGGGTGGCGCCGGTATTGTAGTGATCACCCAGGGCTAGGTAAAACCTAGAACACAGCCACCCAGCCACCCTAATACAAAGTCAACCTGTCGTGGGTGATGGGACTGCTGAGCATGGTGGGATGTTAGGATTTTAGTTGGAAGACAAGGTATGGGACTTGTCTTGAATTCCAAAATTAGAAATGTGGGATCCGTCTAGGATTTCACATTAGAAGTATGGGATTTTAATGTGGGGTTTATATGAACTTGGGCTCTCCAATCTCAATGGCTATCTTTTGAGATATGGTTCTCCTAAAATCATTACAAATTACTTCAATCTCTTTTCAGTATCATGCTTGTTTTTCTTGCATGTTTGTTTAATGGTTTAGGGTTCTGAATGGATGAAATCCAAGAAATGAAAGTTTTAGACACTTAGGAGCTAAATGTCGATCTCAAGTTTTTTTATCACCAAAGTAACAAGAACTCAAATATTTACAATCCCCAAGTAAATAATAGTCACAACATCTTGTTTAGAATCTTTTATTTTATTTTAATTGACCATTTTTCTTGTTTGTAGGAGCTTACTTATGACTATGGCTATGCACTTGATAGCGTCACTGGCCCTGATGGAAAAATAAAACAGATGGCATGTTACTGCGGTGCAGCAGACTGCAGAAAGCGCTTGTTCTAGTGGTTGGTAATCGAGATCAGGTTCCTCTGTTTATCCAAAAGTGGTTGCTCTTTTCGCTAAATATATAGTGGTCATTACTGCACTAGCATAAAATCAAGGTGATTCTGGGTATTTTGTCCTGTTGTATATCTCTTCTTCCTACAAGCATCTGTCCTTGTAGCTTTCAAGTCCTTATACTCCCATTTTAGTGGGGTTCATGCCATTGATTAGATCCTTAATCCTTGAATGTTTTAGTCAAACTATATTATAGCTTAGAGCAATGATGAAAAAAGAAAAAGTAAATTGTTGTATAAAATTTTTTTGTGAAAAGATAGAGGATGACATCGTCTACAACCCTAATTTTAATTTTGCATTTGTTTCTGTAAGTTTTTACATTTTTTACTGTACCATGAATGTCTTTAAAGTCTTTGTAAGAACTTTTCCTTAAGTTTAATGTATACTTTGCTTATTGTTTCAAAACTATTTATAGTTTTGTCGTTTATTTCATACCGTAGGATATGATTATGAAGTATGAACTTCTACTGCCAATTTGCTTTAAAGCAATTCTACAAAATTTGGTGGAATTCAATTCTATAGAATTCAAAATGAATCGACAATGAAATGATGCTTTTTTTGGACTAACTAAATTAAATTTTTAACTCAAATTTATTCTTGAAGATTTGTATTCTTTAAGCTGATGACACTTCAATTTCAAAAATTGATTATTTTTGAAATTGAAGTGTAGTTTTGTTATTTTCTAAAATAGAAAAAATAAAAGCTTAAGCAGAGTGAAAAAGCCGCAGCAGAATAAGTTTTTTTTTTTTTTTTTTTTTTATTGATTATTTTTGAAAGTTGAGTGTAGTTTTGTTATTTTCTAAAATAGAAAAAATAAAAGCTTAAGCAGAGTGAAAAAGCCGCAGCAGAATTTTTTTTTTTTTTTTTTTTTATTCTGCTTCCATTTGCCCCCCATAATTTGCATAGATTGGAAAATTTTGTTGAAGCGATATGTACTTTCTGAAAAGAGAGACTAGGAGAGTGCATATGATAAAAACAACAAAATGGTCAATTAAGCATTGCCTTGATGGGAAATGCACAGGCCTGGGTCCTTTTCGAAATCCCTTTATTAACTTAATTTTTGCCTTTTATGGGCAGGCTTCCCTTAATGGATTTCATGTAATTTTAATTTGTATTCAAGCAGTATATAGTTTCTAATGGCCAAAAAAAAAAAAAGTTACTACTAACATATCACAAGCTTAAAAGTCTAAATAATATACTCACTAGGTGATGGGCTCTATCCAGCTGGTATGCGCAGTTGCTCACTACTACACTAGAAATCTAGTAAGGTCTACCTCCAAGCCCTACACCTTGGAAGAATGTGATTATTTGCTTCTTTTTAAAGAAATTGGGCAGATGAGCATTAGATAAACGCTGCTTTCTGCTATTTTCCCGTTGACGCTTTGAAAGCCTTAAGCATAAACTTTGGCAGGTTTTGGTTATTAAATGAAGAATTACACTGTTCTCATAAAAGTGCAGTTAGACTTGTTTACAACATGTCTGTTACAAGAAAAAAATGTCCAGATATAACACTGCAGGACAACCGCTTTTTCTGATGGAAATATTTTCCTTTGGATGATGATGGTTTTATGAGAGTCACAGAAACTTTAGAATCTGATGAATAAAAAAAATGTTCTTGATTTCTATATTCATTTGGCACATAACTTAGGCCTGAAATTAAAATAAATAACTCATCCCCAACCTTGAAATGATCGCTTCCGACAAACTGCGAATGCCTCGTTTATTTTGTCAATGTAAATCCCACTACAAGTTTACAACAAACTTTGTAATGGCAAGAAATGTATATCGCATCAGTATATCATTTCTGAGAAGATGAAGCCAACCAAGCTCCCACCTAAAGAAAGTCAAGCGAGAACTAAAATCAACAGATACCTATGAAATACAAATGCATAAATTAGTAATTACACAGTCAGATGGGTTCAATAAAGTAGCAGTCAGGATATAGTAGCTCAGCTCACTGAAGATGGCAGCCCTCTTAAACAGACTCATCCATTATTTCTAAACTGTTCTTTGTCCGATACTTGCGGCCCAGTCTCTGTGAACCAATTTTCCTACTAGCAGCTGTTTCAGATTCTTCTTCCTCCATGACACTAGGTTCACTATCTTCTGTAGTACCAGCTGCAATGCTAATGGGCAAACTCTTCCTAAGCAGAGGCTCTTTATTGATATCGTCCTGATTTTGCTTTGACTCCATCGGATCAGTGACCATTTCAGCCTCACTTGATTTCCTCTTTGGTATGAAGGTTAATGATTTTGGACGATCATCAGAAACATCATCTGGCTGTGATTCCACAGAATTAGACTTCTTCAGCATCTTTAGAAAGTCCCAAAAGGCTTGCCGGTTAGATTGCTCATCTACATCACTTGATGAATCAAAAGTGTAGCGTGTATATTTTGAAGGGTTTCGCATATAATCTGGGATTCCAGAAGGATAATCTGGAGGCAGATGATATACAAGACACTCATCTACTGAATCCGTTTCCATGCATATATTTTTGACTTCATCAGAATCTTTATCATCGCCATCTTTACATTCTGGGTCAAATCGAACACGTTTTTGTGACTTTGAATCTAACTCGTTATTTATTGACTTGGAAACAGACTCGTTGTCCTTCCTTTTAAGAATGGATTTTAGATTACCATCATCAAACGACGACACCTTAATGTGGTCATCAATGCCAGGTGGTGAATCTTGTTCAGAAACCCTCAAAGAATCCATCTTTTTAGCAGCCTCTGCATCTTCTTTGAGTCTAAGTTTTGCAGCAATGTGATTTGCACGTGGATCCCTAGGGATATCCTTAAATGTATCGGGAAGCTCATTGTTAGAATCTATATCTATTCCATAATCAGTTATACCTTTCATGTACACGCGATCATCAGGCTTTTCCTTGCCAACAGCAACTTTGTCGAATTCATCTTCCTCTTCCTGCATTAAGTAAATAAATAATTAGAAGTTCTGAAGGGAAATCCCAGAGTTTACGTAACTTATATATAGAAAAAAAGCATCTAATATTAATCTGTTTTGATTAGTGGAACAATGTGAACTATTAATTCAGATTTTATTTAATTGTTATAATAACAAACGACCCCTTATGGGACAGACATAAGAAGCAACAGCAAAACCAGAAATGTTTGTTTCACTGTGGAATTGGAGATGAAAAGCAATTCCTGGAAAGTACTTTTTTTTATTTGTTTGGTTCACAAGAAATTCAAAACTTCTAACTACCCTTATATTTAAGATAACTAGAAAATTTATATCGAAATGATACTTCTAAATATAATCCTTAATATAAACCACAAGTTCTATTTAGATTTCCAAAAAGTAAATTTGAAATAGGATTCTTTAGCTTTTGACATGCATTCCCATACCATTCCCATTCTCATTCCATTTTCAAGACAAATCAAACTTGCTCTAACTACATGCAAAAACCAAAATAACCAGAAAAATCTCGTAAACGGGTGCTGCTCGATTGCACCCATATCAGTAAAGACCATGAAATCTACATTTTTTAACAACAATAAGATCATAATAGTAACACAAACATCAACTCAAGCCACTATAATGTTTATCAAAACAAACTAATACATACCTCGTAATCAAGAGTACAGTCCAAGCCAATGGAGTTCTTAATCTCCCACTCTTCCTCATTATAATCATCAGGTTTAGGTTTCACAGACTGGCTTGACGAGGCATATGACTGCTCGTTGTCGTCGTCTAGGTCGTCCAGGTCCTTCTCAAGCTCCCAGCGGAAATCGACGCCGGAATTCTCTCTATTACTGGATAAAAACCCTCTCTTGAAAGGAAAAGAATCCGTTAATGTTTCGGATTCGGGTTCGGGGCTGTCTTTGTCTCGCTTCCATTCGTTTCGCTCGATTTCTTCGTCTGTTAAACGCCATAAAGAGCTTAAATTGGAAGATGGCGCTGCTGTTGAAGAGGACAGAGAGCCAAAAGCTTTATCGACTCGAACACTGAAACTATCTTCCATTTTCGTGACTTTATTTTTTAGTTTTTGGGTTTGCGAAGAAGAGGGGATAGGGTTTTGAGCCTTTTCTGGAAGCAGTAATCCTAATTATGGGATGGGGTTATTCATATAACCAAACGGATCTATACGGTAACCGACATTGTAACTCCAGGCCCAAAAGAAAGTTGGGCAATGGCTTTTTATAGTGTACAGCGCTAAAACAACAAGCGGTTTGATATATCTATTTTGTTCCTAAAAAAAATTATGAGCAATGTACACTTTGACGAAAAATATTTTGGAGGTTGAGCTTTTTATTATTTCGGTGCAAGTTTTGATGTAAATTGCATAAAAAATTGATATTTTGACAAATTATATATTGTTTTCAATTTTTGCAATGCAAATTCAACTTTATTCTTTATTTTTATTAAATAAAACAAATAAAGAATTTATCAATTCAATATAGTAAGATAAAATCAAAGCATTAAGGATAAGATCACAGACATCATAATCAATATTCAAAGCATGATCGTTTAGTAAGACATCACTTTCATGGTTGTCCAAAAGCAGAAGACGAACACAAACCCATATCTCAAAGTGCACGCGTCTAATCTTCACACGCAAGAAAATTCACCTGCTTCCTTCATAGGCAAGCGACAGAAATAGTGAGACTCATTTTTTTGGAACCTTACAAAGACCAATTTCCACTTCCGAAATTCTACTAAGCTTCACATTTCATCGAACACATGATCTTCACTTCTCTTCATCCACTTCCAAGAAGTCTGCTATAACCATGTCGATCATTGCTTTCTACTCTTTAACAATATACTTGGCTCTAATTTTATGCGTTGAATCAAAATATATAGCTTACAATACCACGGGAACAATTGTTCCGGGCAAAATTAATGTTCATTTGGTGCCTCACTCTCACGATGATGTTGGCTGGTTGAAGACAGTTGACCAGTACTATTTTGGTGGTAACAATTCGATTCGGGTAAAGGACATTTTAAGGAGAATTGTAACTTAAAGGAGGAATTTTTTTTTGGTACTTTGATAAAATTTTGATGGGTTTTTGGTTTGGTGGGTAGGGGGCGTGTGTTCAGAATGTATTGGACTCTGTTATTTCTGCTTTGTTTGAGGATAAGAATCGCAAGTTCATCTACGTTGAAATGGTTAGCATTTTCTACTCTCTCACATTTTTTTGTACAGTTTCTGAGATAATTTTTTGCGTCTTTTTTTAGACAAATATGTGCGCTTGGTGAATTTTATTGTTAGCATTTAATTTGTTGTTCAGGCATTCTTTCAGCGATGGTGGAGACAGCAAAGTGAAACAATGAAGGCTAAAGTCAAAGAGCTTGTCAAATCTGGTCAATTAGAATTCATGTAAAAATTTCATTAATACACCTTGTTGTTTTCTTATTTTATGGCTAATGATTATAATTGCTATGTTGGAAATGAGTTTTTGGTTCTATGCCAATAGAAATTCAAGTTATGAAGTTCCCTTTCTTGACTGATTAGTGTTTTTGTTCTCTCTTTTTGGAAGAAATGGGGGAATGTGTATGCATGATGAGGCAACCCCACATTATATTGATTTGATTGATCAAACAACTCTAGGGCATCGATTTATCAAAAATGAATTTGCTCAATTCCCTAGAGTTGGTTGGCAGATTGACCCTTTTGGACATTCTGCTGTTCAAGCTTATTTGCTCGGTGCTGAGGTATATCAAACACTATACTACAATTTTTTTTTTTTTTTTTTTTTTTTTTTTTTTTTTTCCTTTTGCATGTCTTCTTTTGCTTTATCGCGCGTTATTTTTTTTTCCTATATTGACAATGGCACATGACTTGCTTTTCCTTGGGTAATTATACCTATCTGAGCCACCAAGAGGCTGGTATCGAGTGCTATTGTGGTTTTTCTCATTGGAGGTTTTGGTGGCCAGTGAATATTAAGACACGAGTTTGAGCACGCGCCATTCTTCTTGTCCTGTAAAGGAAACAAAAGGAATCTATCTATCTCATATGCAGATTATTTCAATCGCCATATAGAGGCATTGAAGAAAGATATTGCAACTTTTTCTTTGATATCCTATGCTGGCAGGACATGGTACAATACACACCCTCTTTGTCTAACTCTATTGAAAACTCTACAACCTATTCATGCTCTACATTCTCTTTCCTTTTGGTAATTTTTTTTTTTTTTTTTTTGATGGTCTTCTTTGCTTTATGCGTTATTTTTTTTCCTATATTGAAATTGGCAATGACTGCTTTCTTGGGTAATTATACCTATCTGAGCCACCAAGAGGCTGGTCAGAGTGTTGTGTGTTTTTCTCATTGGAGTTTGGTGGCAGTGAATTAAGAACACGAGTTTGAGCAGCGCCATTCTCTTGTCCTGTAAAGGAAAACAAAAAGGACCTATTATTCATATGAGATATTTCACATGCATGATAGAGCATTGAAGAAAGAATTCAATTTTTCTTGATATCTATCTGGAGACATGGTAAATAACACCTTTTTCTAACTCTATGAACTCTACAACCTATATGCTGATTTTTTTTTTTTGGTTGCAGCTAGGATTTGATTCTCTCTTTTTTGCTCGAATTGATTACCAAGATAGAGCTAAGCGGTTAGAGGAGAAGAACCTTGAGTTTATCTGGCGGGGTTCCAAGTCCCTTAGTTCCACTTCACAGGTTGGAGGGTCTAATATACATATTTCTTTTGTCCCTTTTGCCGTTTGATTTCGGAAATGAGATTTTCTTCCTGTTATTATCTCAACATTCCACTTCATTTATTTATTATTGATGTTTCTAGCATCTGTTTGACTTCTTCATTGGCGATGCTTTCTACAGATATTTACCGGTATATTTCCTAGGCATTATGACCCCCCCGATGGTTTCACATTTGAAATAAATGACATATCACCTCCTATTCAGGTAACTACTGCACAAGAAACAATGACATTTTTTTATTGGTTGATATGGAACTACAATTTTACATGATAATTTTGTTTGAAGGATGACATTCTCCTATTTGACTATAACGTTCAAGAGAGAGTCGATGATTTTGTAGCTGCTGCTTTAGCTCAGGTAATAACTTAAGAGTGGCTACTTAGTCTCTCCTTTTCTGTTACCATCGTGCTTGGTAATATCAAGCCTTGCTGTTGATATTGTATTTTGCAAATAATCCATGGATACATCATATACCATCGTTAAGAAGGGTAAGTAATATATTAAATCCTATAAATTTGATAAGAAGCGTAAGTGCCATTATGAATGTTCTAGGTTAAATTTTATGTTTGCACTCTGGAGCTATGATTAATGGCAGTTAATCGAGTGTTCTTTTTCTCTCCCCCATTTTAGGCTAATGTAACCAGGACAAATCATATAATGTGGCTCATGGGGACCGATTTTCGTTATCAATATGCAAATTCATGGTTCAGGCAGATGGACAAGTTCATCCATTATGTTAATGAGGTATTATTTTTCTTTAACCCTAACTGATGATGAGGCACTGTAGACAATAGTAATGGCTTTACGCTCAGTTATCCTCTTTTTCTTCTTGTTTTGTGCTCTATTGTATTCTAAGCCATGTCAAAAGGAGGAAGCAATTATAATTATGTGATAAATGTTTTTTATTGATAATTCCCAGGATGGTCGTGTAAATGCTTTATATTCAACCCCGTCCATCTATACTGATGCAAAATATGCAGCTAATGAACAATGGCCTATTAAAACTGAAGATTTCTTCCCGTGAGTTTGTTTTGCTATTGTAATTTCCATACCGTATGTGCTTCTTTGGACCTTACTGAAAGAATAGAAATTACTGTACTCCAGGTATGCAGATCATCCAAATGCTTATTGGACAGGTTATTTTACAAGCCGGCCAGCCTTTAAAGGCTATGTTAGAATGATGAGTGGTTACTATCTTGTATGATTTTGCACCTTTAAATACCTTCAGCAAATGTTTTTTTTTTGTAAATGTCCTTATAGCCTCTCATTTCTTTCTTTAAATAATAATTGTTGTCACTGTTTAAAATTAGGCTGCACGGCAACTTGAATTCTTTAAAGGCAGGAATAGTTTGGGACCAAACACTGATAAACTTGCTGATGCTTTGGCAATTGCTCAACATCATGATGCAGTTAGTGGTACGCAAAGGCAACATGTTGCTGCCGATTATGCTCTGCGTTTATCTATTGGCTACATGGAGGTGCATATCAGTTTGATAACCAACAACTGTTTGCAGCATGACAGGAATATCACCTTTTATAAGACTCATGGGCTTCAGTTATGTCTCTCTGCAGGCTGAGAAGTTAGTTGCTTCTTCTCTTGCTTTCTTGGCAGAGTCAAGATCAAGCAGTGGACAGGGGAACTCAGTCACAAACTTTCAGCAGGCAATTTTGTCTCTGCACTACTTTCTTGTTGTATTTCAATTTATATTTCAGATAACATATGCACTTCGATTACATTTCAAATGGTCTGCATTTATGTTAATCTAAATGGCTTTTCGTTTGATACCTAAATTAACACCATAATAGTATCTAGGTGATTTACAAGTTTATAATAACCTATTAAATATTCAAAATTATCAAGATAATTCAAAACATTGCGTTGAACTTTATTCTGGTAATTATTTATCACAGCTGAAGCTTGATTTTCTGATTGTTCGTTCATTTTCTTATTTTTCTTTATCTGCAGCAAACTTCCTTGTTTACAAAGATATGTAATATTTCTTCTTTGTAGCTTTTCTTGGTGAAGGTCTAGAAAATAGGATAAGATACTTGTTGCTTTCCATTATGAAATATTAGACAATTTTACATAATCACTCTTTTCTTTTCCAAAAATGAGGTGTAAAAGTTTGCTGAACCCTACTGTGTGAATTTTCTTGGGCAGTGTCCTCTACTTAATGTAAGTTACTGTCCTCCATCAGAGGCTATTTTGTCTGATGAGAAAAGCTTGGTAAGAGTCTTTTTCCCTTTTTTCACATCCTCCCATGTTAGTGGTCATGATTGCCATTTTCATATCAATTAATCTCTTCTCTTTTTGTAGGTTGTTGTTGCTTACAATCCTCTAGGATGGAAGCGAGATGAAGTGATAAGAATTCCGGTGAGCTTTTGTAGTTAAGCATTGTAATTTTGTAACAATAAGAGCCTCTCTTATCCTAAAACAAGTCAAATTTAGGAAACTTGGTAAAGACTGTCAGTTGGTCTAAACAATATTATTTTTGCCTCTGAGATGCGTGCACTTCTGCAGAGAAATTTGTGATGCTGGCAACTTTGTGGCCTACAGTGGTGGGGTGTGCAGATGGAAACTAGTTTTTTCAATTAAGCTAATTTAACCTTTGACTCAGCAGTTTATGGTATCACCTCTAAATGTCTAACTAGAAATTAAGGTGTCAGGCTCAGAAGTGTTTTATTATTGCTTTCTAAAGGAGGTATGGTATTGCATCTGAGGGCCTTTCATCTAATTGTGAAGTAGAAAACTTACACAATACCTGGCGGCAGTTATTTGAACATCAAATACTTGATATTTTCACCTATATGACTAGATTTTGTATCACACTTGCTACAGGTTTCTACTGAAAAAGTTGTTGTTAAAGATTCAGATGGGAGAGAAATTGAATCTCAACTTTTACCTATTTCAAATGCAACTTTGTTCATGAGAAATAAGTATGTCAAAGCATATCTGGGTAAATTCCCAAGCGAAACACCCAAATATTGGCTTGCATTTTCAGCATCCATACCACCCCTTGGTTTCAGCACTTACACAGTTTCAAGCACAAGACAGACAGGTAAGCAAAATCGTTTCTTCTCAATTATATTTTCCTGCGGAATGGAACTCTTCTCAAGTGACTGACAAATTGCTCTACTTATAATCTTCATCAAAGGATCTAGTTCAACCATCTCTCTAGTCCACAAATTGGATGAAAGTACAAATGAGAACATAGAAGTTGGGCAAGGAAGTTTAAAGCTGCTTTATACTGCAGATGAAGGGAAACTTACTTATTATACTAATAGCAGAAGCCTGGTAAATCGTTATTGTAGTTTAATTTTGCACTGCACTATTTGTTGAAAGAAATGTGATTTGTGTTTTTCCTACAGTCCTGATGCCACATTTGACTCTTTTTTTTCAGTTATTTTCTCTTTGGGACCATCCTAAAATTTCTAATTTTGCTAAATTTTTAATGTTGCTGCCATTTCCAAGGTTGCTGCTGCTGTTGAACAATCCTACAGTTATTATACTGGAAATGATGGCACGGATGAAGATCCACAGGTAGTCAACCTTTGATGTGTTATACATCTTATGACCTTCTGTTTTTTGCATTACTTATTCTACATTTTCATTTTGGCTCACAACCTGAGAGAGTTATCTACAACTGTTTAGCTTTATGAGATTTCCATTATTTGTTGAAGGCATCTGGAGCATATGTTTTTCGCCCAAATGCTACCTTCCCAATAAAATCTGAAAACCAGGTAATTGTATTCTATAACACTTGACCAACTTTTCTGCAGAAAATAATAAACTGTTACAATTAATGAAAAGAAAGTGGAATATCTGTTTTCTGTCAGGTTCCTTCAACTTTTGTAAAGGGTCCAATACTGGATGAAGTACATCAGCAGGTCAACCCATGGATATCTCAGGTAGTTATGACATCAAGAATATCTTCTTGAAGTAGTATATCAAAATGATGCAGCGTTTGGTGTTTTCATTCTTCCAAAGGCTCTGTCTTCTCTACTTTCAGTAACACTATGCCATGTGGATGCATAGGTTACCAGAATCTACAAGGGGAAGGAGCATGCTGAAGTTGAGTTCACTGTAAGTAATTCTCTGATGCATCATTTTACTTTAAGGGCTAGCATTTATTGGTTGTGCAGACTATCTGACCAAGAGGTACTTATTGGTTTTAATTGATGACTCCCTACATATGTCATTCAGATTGGGCCTATACCTGTGGATGATGGGACCGGTAAAGAAATCACAGCTCAAATTAAAACCACCATGAAGACCAATAACACATTCTACACAGACTCTAATGGACGTGACTATATTAAACGGGTAAATTGAGACTTGAATGGTCTATAGAATGTCTTTTATCCAACATTGTTCTTGCTTCATTATTTAATTTTTGTTGTATTATTGTTAACAGTATGTTGCTTCTCTCTTCATCTTACAAGCAAGCTTATTTTATTTTTTCTCTATATTTTATTTTTTTTGGATGGAAATTTCACTCGAGGATAATGTCTACTGATTAATGAGAAGCTTAATTTGATGTAGCATGGGGATGTTTATTTTGCAGTTAACTTATTTTCTACGTGCTTTTTCTGATACTTCAAAATGGTTTGCAGATTCGAGATTTTAGGACAGACTGGGACCTCGAAGTGAATCAACCAGTTGCTGGAAATTATTACCCCGTACGTGTCCTCAGTAAAATTCATGATTTGATCTTTGCTGGTTAATGCAAAATATTTTATTATGTCTTTTGGGTCAGTTTTAGAAAGTTCTATCGGCAACCAGTTACTGATGAATGAAACTTTCATGCGAAATTATTACTTAAGTTTAATGTATCAATGTCCATGTCCAGCAATTCTTTGTATGGAAAAATATTTATGTTTCAAAATTTGGCTTTTATTAGTCTAATCTAGAAATTGATAAATATCATATGAGATAAATAGCCTTTTTTTTCCTCCATGAGGTGAGCTACACAATTTGAAGTGGGACTGCACCTTCTCCCTCATCAATAGTTTTTGAATGAAAAACAATGGCAATGCTGCAGGCTCTTGTAGTTGAGTTTATGCAGTTATTGCTTCATGACAATTGGAGTGGGATGGAAGCCCTTAAACCCAAGTTCATATTCTTTAGCTAGAATGTGGCGGGCTGCCCTTGAGTTTATCCGATAGTTTTCTTCCTCGCAAAGGCTAATATTATTTGGAGAAAAGCCCTTCTTTTGAAAGAAATTCTCAACACATCTTCTTTCATTTAGATTTCTACGAAGTCCATTTTCTGTATTCTTTCGTAAATTTTTAGTTTTCTTTGTCTGAATATTCTTATGTATAACTTTCCAAATTTCTCTCCTTAATTTTTCTCGCATTTCCTTTTCTGTTCTTCCACTTTTCTAGATCAATCTTGGAATTTATGTACAAGACAACAGCACAGAGCTCTCAGTTTTGGTGGACCGCTCAGTGGGAGGGTCTAGCTTGGTGGATGGCCAAATAGAACTGATGCTCCACAGGTCATTCTTGGAGTTTATTGCACTTAGTTTCTCATTACATATGTAATTTCCTTGTATCTAATCAGGTTTAGTTTTGTTAGGCTGATCTCTAACCACTATTTTTGCTTTATAGGAGGTTGATTCATGATGATAAAAGAGGTGTTGGTGAGGTGCTCAATGAGACAGTTTGTTTCTTAAATGGATGCGAGGGCTTAACTGTAAGCACTACTTTGAACTTGCATTTGTGGATCGAAACTCTTCAACAAAATTCTCGTGTGTTGTTCTCAGGCTGCTGGCCATGGTAGGAGTTTCAATTCAATATACTGACTTGGTAATATGCACTTTTGCAGATACAAGGGAAGTTTTTTGTTAGAATTGATCATCTTGGAGAAGGTGCCAAGTGGCGTCGGACAGTTGGCCAAGAGATATATTCCCCAATTCTCTTAGCCTTCACAGAGCAGGTATGGCAACATTTAAAGTATAATCTGTTATATAAACTTGCGATGCTTGGCTAATCATTTTTCCTATTTTGCAGGATGGAAGTAATTGGATAAATTCACATACACCTTCTTTTTCAGGAATTGATCCGTCCTACTCTTTACCTAATAATGTTGCTGTTATAACCCTTCAGGTAAGTCAGAAAAAAGTACCTCGTGAGTTAGAATTATATCCTTGAAGGAGAATGAATGCATTCTCTTGATCTTTTTTAATGAATTTTATTTGGAGTCCTTGATGAAAACAGTACAAAGCTTTATGGTTTTCATTTCTATGTCTGGAGGAATGAGGATTTTCTTCTTTTCTGAATGTTTCAGGAACTTGAAAATGGAAAGGTGCTTCTTCGGTTGGCTCACCTATACGAGGTCTCAGCTCCTCTCTTCTCTTAATTGTTCATATATGCATTGCCCTCTCTGTATGGATAATAGCTCATAGTACCTCTGGACCAACATTTTGCATGACAAATTTGAGAATCATATTGTATGTAGCATGAATGTTAATGTAGGTATCTCTATTGTGGTAGGACTTGTGGATTGTTAATTCTCTTTTAAAAATTGAAACTTGACTTAACGGTATATTATTGTCCAGCTTAGTTGCTTTTGCATGAACTTTATTTATGTTGATACCAAAAAAACTTGATTTTTTTTTTTTTTTTTTTTTTTTTTTTTAACACAGTACAAACCTTTATGCGTTTTTCATTTCTATGTGCTGAGGAATGAGATCTTTCTTCTTTTCTGGAAACTGTCATGGAACCCTGAAATGTGAAGGCTGCTTTCTTCGGTTGGCCTCACCAGTATACGATGGCTCTCAGCTCCTCGCTTTCTTTAAGTTTGTCATATATGCAATTGCCCTCTCTCTGTATGGCATAAAATAGTCTCATAGTACCTTCTGGACTTCGAACATTTCTGCATGAACCGAAACTTGGAGATCATATGTTATGGTAGCGATGGAATGTTAATGTCGGTATCCTCTGATGTGTAGGATCTTGTGGATTGTTAATTGTCCTGTTAAAAATTGAAATTGAGACTGACGATTACCTATTATTGTCATCCATGCTTATGTTGCTTTTCGCATGATACTTACTCTTATGGTGTTGGATATCCTAGAGAGAATGACTTGATTCTATTTTTTGTTTTCTTTTTTTGTTTTTTTCTTGTGGATCAGCCGGATGTGATTTCGTATTACGGCGATAGACTTGAGAGGGACAAAGTGTATTTTTGTTGTGCAACTGTGGAATTAAAAGGCTACTCCCAAAAGTAATCACCATACGGCAAGAAATTCATGATAAAGCCAATAGAGGGATTTGTTAGCTTTTGCAAGCCGTAGTTTTTTTTTTTTTTTTTTTTTTTTTTTTTGTGGCCATTTTCTATACGCATAGACTGGAGAGGACAAAGATTATTCTGTTGTGGCAATTGTGGAATTGAAAAGGCTATTTCCAAACAAGAAGGTAAAGCAATAGAGGATTTTGTTAGAATTTGCAGCCGTTAGTTGATTAAGAAACCATAATTTTTTATTTTGATAATATGATCCTTTTTTTTACAGATAAGTAAAGTAACAGAGTTGAGTTTATCTGCCAATCAAGAAAGAGCTGTCATGGAGAAGAAGAGGTTGATGTGGAAAGTAGCAAGTGACAAAGAAGAACACAGGGTGACAAGGGGAGGACCTGTTGATCCTGCCAAGTTAGTTGTAGAACTTGCTCCTATGGAGATCCGCACTTTCTTTATAGATTTCAATCATCTGCAAATGTTTGGTTCCTGAAATATGAAAAGGATGGAATTCGGCTGCAGTACGCACAAGAGAGTCTCAAAAGGAGGGATCCTGCCAAGTGGTGAGATGAAGTAGTTGCAGTATCTATCTGAAAGTTGCAAAAACAGAACGATGAGTTATAATAAATACAGTCGGCATGGTTTAAGTTTCATATATCAGTCATGCATCATAATGTATAAAAGAGGGAGTGTCACTTGTGTGAGGAGTGGGTCTTCTCATTTATGTGAGGATTTTCGAGTTTTCTGGACCATAAATGTTTTCACCAATTTAGTGAGTGCAGGGGATGATACCCCTATTGTGTAGCCTGTAGTGTTATTTCGGCTCATCGGGCTTCTTAATGAATTAAAAAAAAGAGGAGTGTCACTTGTGCATGACAAACGTTTCTCTTGCGTAAATTGCAGCAATATGATCACCAATTCTTATACCATCATAATGTTGATTAGTTTCAATATGGGCGCTATTGGTTGTGTACTTAAGTTTGTAGTGCAGGATATCAGACACTCAAATCTCCATGGTTTTCACTCCCCCGTAAACAAGTTTCTGCTGTATGAAAAAAATGGTCACTGATTTCAGTACCATAAAGTTTCTGTATTTTTGGTAGAACTAGGAAGTATAGTCTCCTTTTGGGTAGTAGAGCGTAAAAATTTAGCTCCTCCCAATAAACTTTATAGAAATTGATGTAACTTATCACTTCAATTTGGTATATTGGCATAAAATTTCAATATTTTTGACTGCAAATGTCGTCGTTCAGAAGGCAACATAATGGAAATATCTTCAGCTACCAAAGCAGAAAAAGACACATCAACTGCCTAAGTATCTAATAGTCAATGCACTCAAATAATTGCCAGACCCTTGCAGGTGAATTTAAAAACTGAAGTTGATTTCGATAATTGAAGACACATTCCGACAATATAATTTTAATATATATATTAAGAACAACCGTGATACTAAGCATGCTCGAAATTTGTTCATCAACCTCGCTATAACACTAGCAAGGTGGTCCCTCGACTTGCCTTCAAAGTCATAGGAGTAGTTATCATTTGCTTTGAAGGGGAGAAGTGATGATCACACTTCCAAGTCCTCATTACTCTTAAATGTGATTATTATTATTGCTAAATATGAAAAATGAAAAGACTAAATAACTTAATTAATTTAATTTTTTATTTTTAAAATTGAAATAGTTAAACTAAATTTAGAGTATTTTTTATTATATATATTTATTTAACAATTAATTTAATTTTGAAACATTTATTTATTTTTGAAAAAAATAAAAATCCAATTTATTTCATTGACCAATAGCCTAAGAATCACATGAATGCACCTCAAAACCCTTACATTTCTAAGAAATTCAATATGTTCAAAAATACTAATATAAAATTTAAAATGAGAACGATCAACTCAGCTGTATCTAATCATGTTATCAGATTTTGAATTGAACAAACTCAAAAAAAAAAAAAAAAAAATTCTCAAAAATACTAATATATAAATATTCTAATATATGAGAACCGATCAACTCAGCTGTATCTAATCATGTTAATCAGTTTTGAATTGACAAACTCAAAAACAAAAAAAAAAAAAAAATCTGATAGTCTTTCAAACTGAGCTTTGTCAGGTTATTAGTGAACCCATTGGGCCATCTCATGGCACCCGCTATATTTAAACACAAAAACCATAATTTATTCAGTTATTAAAAAGAAATAATAATAAAAAAACCCATAATTTATGATTTCCTTCCTTCAATGGAACCTTTGCTGGAAAACATCTGTTAAATAAGTTGAGAAACTTCAGTCTGAAAGTAGAGTTTCATAGCCTTATCCATTTAAGGGCTTCTTTTACTTATCTAATGATTGTTTACTCAGATTCTCCTACTTCTTTGTAGCCTAGAATCAGAAACAACTATTTCTGTGATCAAAGTGACTTGATTTATTTAAGTTTCATACTAAGCCTCACTTGAATCTCCAGAATGGAGATTAAAATTCTTTTCTTTCTATTTCTTTTTCTGGGTACTGCGATTTCATGGGTAGAATCTAAGTACATGGTTTATAATACTTCACAAGGCATAGTTCCTGGTAAGCTTAATGTTCACTTGGTTCCTCACACTCACGATGATGTTGGTTGGTTAAAGACTGTTGATCAGTACTATGTTGGCTCCAACAATTCAATTCAAGTAATCCCTTTTCTCGTTTATGTAGGTGTAAAATATGATAGATTGTATATCAGGTTTTTAATTGACGTTTTCGATTTTATAGGGTGCTTGTGTGCAAAATGTGTTGGATTCTCTCATTCCTTCATTGTTGGCTGACAAGAATCGCAAATTTATTTATGTTGAAACAGTAAGTGTCTTTTTCAATCTTTCTAACTTTTGTGTAATTATGGTTGGTTTCTGAGAAAAAAATGGGGAAAAAAGAAAACTAAAATTGGGTATTCGTCATCTATGATTAATAATTTGAAAAAATAAATATGTGAAATTCTTCGGGACTTCGGGTTATATTTCTCGGTCTTCAAAAGCTCAAAATAATTCCTTTATTTCTCCACTGCCTGCAACCAAGTGGAGCATTAGGCTTTTTTAGACTGGGAGGACTATGGACTTTCAAGAGAAATGGACCTATTCTAGTTACAGTACTTGGAACTTTGTCAAATTTGAATTTGAAGGAAAACCCTGTTTTCAGAATACAGTGCCATCCCTGGGTTTTTGCTGCATTTAAGCTGTCAGCATAATAATCACTGTAGAACTTGCAGAAATTGCGAGCATCAAATTCAATTAAATATCTGTTTTGTCATTGCTTTTGAAAGGCCTCAAAGAATAATCAATTTCAATTTTGTCGCTGTATCAGTTATCTATTGCATAAGGACCTTGGAACCCCATCATTTAAGCATATGTGACATTGTTTGCCAACTATCACTTTATGGTGTGATGTGTTATGTTTAGCCATTGTAATCTCGAGAATCTAGATTATATTCATGATCTACTTCTTCCTTGATTATGCAGGCATTTTTCCAACGATGGTGGAGAGATCAGAGTGAGGCTATGCAGCATGTTGTCAAGCAACTTGTGAGCTCGGGTCAACTAGAATTCATGTAAAAGGACTGTTTAACCCTATTGACTTTGTAATGATATTCATAGTGCCTTATTTTTGGATCTATGAGTTTGATTATGATTGTTTCATGTTCATCAAAATGGTGGCTTGGATTATCTATAACCCTTTTCTCAGAATACTTGAAACTGTTGTTCTGTCTGTGGCTCTTGCAGAAATGGTGGTATGTGCATGCATGATGAGGCAGTGACTCATTATATTGACATGATTGATCAGACAACTCTCGGGCATCGGTTTATCAAAAAGGAATTTGATATGACTCCAAGAATTGGTTGGCAAATAGACCCTTTTGGACATTCTGCCGTGCAGGCTTATTTGTTGGGAGCTGAAGTATTTTTCTCCATCTTTAACTTCAAGCATATCTGCAAAATTTAGGATTGTTTCCTCCCTTTTCTCCAGCTACATTAGCAGACAATATAATGAATTAATCATTCTTGTGTAGGTTGGATTCGATTCTCTTTTCTTTGGCCGGATAGATTACCAAGATAGAGCCAAGCGTAAAAATGAGAAGAGTCTTGAAGTTGTCTGGCAGGGTTCTAAGAGTCTTGGTTCATCTGCAGAGGTAAACAAAACAGATTTATCTTAGCTTTGGACATACATGCAAGTGGGCTTCTTATCCTTACTAATTTTGAATTGTTTATTACGTTGTTTTCTTATCCTGTTTGTATTGTTTTGAGACAATTCTTCCATATTTTCTCTTGACTTATGTATTATTTTATTATAGATTTTTGCTGGTGCATTTCCTGAAAACTATGAGCCTCCACCTGGTGGTTTCTACTTTGAAGTCAATGATCCCTACCCAGTTGTTCAAGTAAAACACAAGAAAAAGCTTTTTTTTTTTTTTCCTTTTCTAATATATTCTCTCATATATCACTGTCATTAACTTTATGTTTTTGTCCATTGAAGGATGACATTAATTTGTTTGATTACAATGTCCCAGAGCGAGTCAATGACTTTGTTGCTGCTGCAATATCGCAGGTAATCTCTTCATTTAGGGACATTTTCTATGTAGTTACTCTCTGTTCTATCCATTTCATGGTATCTCTGCTTAGTACAACTCCTAGGTATAAAAACAAATACTCTGTTAACTTTCTAGTAGTGCTGCTATATGCATCCAGGGTGAAAAGTGTTTTAAATATTTAGAGATGTTGATTTAGTAGGTTTTCCTATGACACGTGTCTAACAACTTAATGCCCATTGGTTTGGCTTGCCCTGATTCATTATATTTTTTATGTAGATTTTTATAATATTTTTACAGAGATACATTTCTTCTAGAGGCATGACATCTGACCTTGGTCACTCAGTTTGCAATACTAAGTTGAAAAGAGTTATACTTTTGTGCCCGAATTTTATCTTCCTTTAATTAAGTTGTTCAAACCAGTTAAGTGGCAATACAAGGAGTTTAATATTCTATTTGCAAGGTTCTTCAAGCAGTTAAAACTAACAGCTGTCAGTCTATTCTCAGGCCAATATAACTCGAACAAATCATATAATGTGGACCATGGGAACAGATTTTAAGTATCAGTATGCAGAGTCATGGTTTCGGCAGATGGATAAGCTGATCCATTATGTTAATATTGTAAGGATTCCGTAAAAACTTCTTGCTTGGTTTTTAGCTGATTACATGTTATCATTATGTAACATATTGCATGCCTCGTGTTTGCTCAAAATTTTGGTTATTTAATAGTCGGTTAAATGAATTCCACTTGGATGAATATGCTTGTCCATGCCATTTGACAAAAAAAGAAATTAGATTATTTGAGTTAGTGAACACTAGATAAGTGGTAATGGGTGATGGGAGTTATATGTGGTGAGCGTTGAAATCTATTAAAAGGTGGATATCTTATTTCATATTGAAACCTTGATATTTGCGTTTCAAAGATTCAAGTACCTTTGTGGTGGAATCTTATGGATTAGCAGTTGCAAATAAACACAGTCAGAAAGAAAGTCAGGTTGAGGAGTTTATGATCTGAATACCATTTTTGTCACAATGGATTAATCTCAAAAGACAGTGTTACCTCCTTGGGAATATTTATAATGATTTTCAGATTCAAAATTTAAATTTTAGTATCGCATATATACACAAGTAAAGATGTCCATGTGATGCTGCATGTATATTGTCTTATTTTTGCAAAAAATTTATATCATTAACATTAGGTGGGATAGTTAAGTAGAAAAATTAATTGTTTCATAAGAAACTATAATATCATATGCATATTAATTCTTTTCTTTTCTTTTTTTTTCTTTGGTGATATTAGTTTTATAATTGTGTTGTTATAGTATATTTTGTATCATAATATTCTAATGAAAATATCCTAGATTTCTTTTAATTTCATTTGAATTTAAAATATTATATATATATTTATTTATTTTATATATTCTTGTTACTCAAAGGTCTATTTATGAAATAAATGATAGAAGTGTATTTCATATTACGGTCGATTTTTTTCTCTGTGTCAATATTGAATAGTTTAAATAACAATAGTTTAATAACTTAAAATTGTAAAAAAAAAAAAAAATTGTCAAGATTATTTTTTATTTAAAAAAAAAGAAAGAGAGATGTAATTGCATTGGTGTGGTAGCTTCATATATTAGCCCATATCTTGTGAATTATAGATCTATATATCAATGATAATACAAACTTTTTCTTAAAAAAATTAGTCTAGAAGCAGTAATAGTTTTGAGCCTACTATAAACTAAAACAATTGAAGGGTCGGCAAATAGATGAGTCTACAATGTGGGCTTTTAAATTTCTAAAGAAGCAAAGGATACGCGCCTTTTAATTTTGGGCTTTCTCCCTCTATAGACAAAAAGAAAAATTGAAGTGGATAGAAATGTCAATGTTATAGAAATAGTTTCATCCAAGCATACTATATAACAAACAAAGTGAGGTTGGCTTGCATGATGTTGCATGTATGCCATATTTGTTGTTGGAAGTATATTTGAGAGTTATTAAAAATTTAACCTTGTATTTTAAAGTATTCTTAAGTCAATCCCTATAATCATTAGTTTGATTTTGAATATCCATTCTAATAGAACTACCTTTTACTAATTTCTCTTATCCATCTTTTTACTAATTTATATATGGGTTTAAATTAAATAATTATATATATTCCATTCTCTAATAGAACTACCTTTTTTACTATTTCTTCTTATCCATCTTTTTTACTTAATTATATTATGGGTTTAAAATTAAAATAATTATATACTATATATATATAATATGTATTAAATTCTTTATTAAATTCTATTTTTTTGTTCTAATATGTATAATAATTTTTTCCCATAAAATAACTAAATTAATATGCTAGAAATTTCTATTTAAACTCATATCTAACAAATTATTAAGGTTGAATAATTTTAATTTTAATTCTTAGATCAATTCTTTTTTATATAAAATTTAAGAAATTTCAATTTATATCTTAATGTGATGATAGAGTTTTAAATTCATGTTTATTTTTTATTTTTTATTTTTTTATGTTTATTTTAATTTTATTTTATATAAAATATTAGTTCACCATCTCAAAAAGAGAAGGAAAAAGAGATTCACTCATGTTTTAAATTTTATTTGCATTTATTTAGTATTTCTTTTCTTTTTCTTTTTTTTTTTTTTTTTTTTTTTTTTTTTTTTTTAGTTATTTAATGTTTCAACAACTTGAAATTCTTATAATAAGTTTTTTTTTTTTTTTTTTTTTTTTTTTTTTTTTTTTTTTGTTATTTAATGTTTCAAACCTTTGAAATTCTTATAATAAGTTTTTTCTGAGACTATTTTATCTTGATATTTGTTTCTCAACCAATGCAGTTATATTTTTGTCTCTTATAGACTAAATAAAAACAATAAAGAAAAAGGAGAGAATACAACTATTGTGACATATGAGTTACTAAAATGAAACAATTTCACTTTTTAGTTCTATCTCTTGGCTGAAAACTTTTTGCGGGTGAGGCCAATATAACTTCTATTTTCTGAGATTTTCTTTTTCCTTTCCGCATCAAGTCGCTCCCAAATTTGAATACACTGAAAATAAAGCACAAAGGAATTTTCCTATATATTTCACATATTTTTTGCTTAAACCTTTAAAATTTGATAGGTAGAAAAGGTTGCAATTTGATTCAAAGTTGTTATTTTAAGAATACATTTTATTAGTAAGGAAAGAGGAGTGGTTGTCACAATTTGTTATGTGGAATGAGAATAATAATAGCAAGCGTTCTTCTGCAGTAGAGGAATGGATCAGAAAAAAATTAATCTACCAAGAGAGGGAAAAGTGCAATGGAGATGATAGTATTAGCTAATGATTTCTAGTTAGATAAAAGGATGATAATAATAAAAGGATTAATATTTTCAAAACACTATTCTAGGAATAGAGACAGGCAATCCCGTTTTAGTATTCTGTAATAAAATAATACTATAATTATTTGGATCCCTTGTGATTTCGCTTGCATATTCTATCTCATCTTATTTTCTAAAATCTATTAATTCTGAATGGTCTGGTTTGAATATTTTAGGATGGACGTGTCAATGCTCTCTATTCCACACCTTCAATATATACTGATGCAAAACATGCAACAAATGAATCCTGGCCAGCAAAAACTGAGGACTATTTCCCGTGAGTTAAGGCTTTTTATGTCATTATGATCTGTTGTGGATTGTTTCCTCATTTTGAATAAATCTAAGAATTTGAAGCATTCATAACTCTAGTTATGCAGATCGTGCAAATGCTTACTGGACAGGGTACTTTACAAGTAGACCATCCTTGAAACGCTATGTCAGGATGATGAGCGGCTATTACTTGGTACACCCTTCTGATTTTTTTAATTTGTCTAAAGAAATATTCCATCATGATCCCGCAATTTTTTTCAGGTTATGATCTTATTTTTTTTAATTAAGCAGGCTGCAAGGCAACTTGAGTTTTTTAAAGGGAGAAATAATAAAGGGCCAAGCACAGAACCATTGGCAGATGCTCTGGCAATTGCTCAGCATCATGATGCAGTTACTGGTACAGAAAAGCAACATGTGGCTAATGACTACGCAAAACGACTGTCAATAGGCTACACAGAGGTGAATTTTTGGTTTAACCACAATGGTTGTTGTAACATTTAGTCTCATTTTGTGTTAAACATTAATTGCTCAATCATAATATTCTGCAGGCTGAAAAAGTAGTTGTATCTTCCCTCGCTTTCTTGGCCGAGTCAAAATCACATATCAGAGGCGAGAGTTTAGCTGCAAAATTTCAACAGGCAAAAAATATAAGCCTTTAATCTTGAGTAGCCTACATTTCTATGATCATTCTGCGTACCTTTTCATCATGAACACCCCCCCCCCCCCCTTCTGCCGTACGCTTTTTCATCGTATGAACACCCCCCCCCCCCCCCCAACCCTATTCCCATTCCTTCTTGTAGGTCTTCTTTTGTCTATTTCATACGAGTATAGATTAAGACATTACTGGCATATTACCCCCCCCCCCCCCAACCCTATCCCATTCCTTCTTGTTAGTCTTCTTTGTTATTCATACGAGTTAGATTAGAGACATACTGGATTTAATAGTAATATTAGTCCATAAATTCTTTTTATGCAATATTGTGATGATAAATTGAATTGGTCAATGATTGACTCAAAGCTTTTGAACACAAATGTGAGAATTGCTCAATTGTTTTGAAGTCATATTTTTCAATGGCATTATCCAGTAATTGCATAGCAATTTTGACATTGGAATTAAGGCTAAACTGGATTTCACCGGTGAAATATTTTTCCCTCGTTTTCTCCCCTTTACAGTGTCCACTCTTGAATATAAGTTACTGTCCTGCATCAGAAATTGATCATTCACAAGGGAAAAACTTGGTAAGTATAATATAGCATACCTAGCAATGTTATTCTACATTGTAATTAAACCACACATTCTCATTCCAAATTGAAATATTTTTTTCTGTATCTTCTCATCTGTAGATTGTTGTGGTGTACAATTCTCTTGGATGGAAGAGAGAAGATGTGATTAAAATTCCTGTAAGTACTTCCATTCTGACCTTTCTCTTAGTCTATTGAACTTCCGTTGGTAATAGGACTGGATTTAGGTGATTAATTTTTATGTCCTTTTCCATTATCATGTTCAATTTTGCCAAAAATAAGCAGATGGTCTTGTGTTCAATTTATCAACTTACAAGATCTAATCTGCTGTAGGTTATCAGCGATGATCTTACTGTGCATGATTCCGAAGGAAGAGAAATTGAATCACAAGTTATTCCTATAGCGGATGCCTATGGGCCCCTAAGGAACTCCTATGTTCAGGCATACTTGGGTAGACCACCAACAGATACAGCCCAGTATTGGCTTGCATTTACAGTCTCCGTTCCACCTTTTGGTTTCAGTACTTACACCATTTCAGGTTCCCAAAAAGCAGGTTAGTTAATTTAGTTCATATGTTTTAAACTAAGCTTGTGAAGGAGAATAATCTTGAGACTAATTTCTCTTGGTTATTGATGTAACTATCATTTTTATGGTTTCTTTTTCAAATGTAGGCGCTCGTTCAAGCAAATCATCCATGTATACATTTCAAGGAAGTGATCAATCTACTATTGAAGTTGGTCAAGGAAATTTGAAGCTTTCCTTTTCTGCAGATGAAAGCAAACACACTAATTATATTAATAGCAGAAGCTTGGTATGTAATAGCGGAAGCTAAACACCTCTTAAATCTGTGTTTTTCCTGAATCATTTTCTTAGATTTTTAGTTCTGTTCTTATATCCAGTTGCAGCTTTCTTAGTGCGAGTTATTCAGGTAAGGTTATAAAATTGTTTGCCTACCTAATAAATACCTTCCTGACTTTGAAGGTTGAGGAATCGGTTGAACAGTCATTCAGTTTTTATGCTGGATATAATGGGACTGGAAATAACAAAGATCCACAGGTATGGATTTGGAAATAAGTTCCTCTTGCAATTTTATCTTTTTCTTTTTCTAAAATATTTTCCTTCAGGTTAATGTTAATTATTTCTTCCAAGTTCATATCTTATATGTATTCGTTTTCTCTCCCTCAAGAATGCTGGGGCGTATATCTTCCGTCCAAATGGGACATTCGCCATAAAGCCTGAAAGAAAGGTTTGCAATGCCTTCTGAAATGATTCTCTATATGAACAATTAATCACTAGTGCTTACCAGTTTGAAAATTTTCCAAGTTCCAGATTCCTTTGACTGTCATCCGTGGATCTATAATAGAGGAAGTACATGAACGCATCAACCAATGGATATATCAGGTGCTTTTTTAACATGGTTATGCCCTTGTTTAAAGTTTTTCCTCGTGAATTTTTTCTTTTTGTTTAATAACTGAGGCAAATTTGTTGCATTCTCCGTTCTTGACGATATTGGTTTAAACGAGAGTCGATGACAAACTCAGTTTTCATGTCAAACTACATCTGATGTCCAATAATTAGCTGGATATTATTAAATTCACGTGCATAGAAAAATTGGCAATCATCAGTTGTTACAGTTAACTACGAGTTGTTATTGGCAAAGAACTTGTTATTTACTTGTCTTCTACTTGTGGAACTTGAGGAAATATTTGGTTTACACATTTAGTTTTTCCTCACTAGGATCTTTTCTTGGTTCCCTCAATAAATTTTACTTTGAACATGTATGCAGATCACTAGAGTATACAAGGGGAGGGAGCATGTTGAAGTTGAATTTATTGTAAGCTTATCTCATATGCTATTTTATTTCTAATTCTATTTAAGCAATTTAACATGTTGTCTTTGCTAACAATAAAAGAAAGATTTTTCAGTGGTAGAGATTTTATCCCCTACTTTTTATTTAGAGATTTATGTTTTTACTGCCCCTTACTTGCTTTGCATTCCATGTGGTGCAATGATGGCACCTACCGTACCAGGTTGGACCTGTACCCATTGATGATGGAATTGGTAAAGAAGTTGCAACACAGATTATAACCACCATGGCGACCAATAAAACATTCTATACAGATTCTAATGGACGTGATTTCATCAAAAGAGTAAGTTTAACATGTGCTGTTCTGTCCTTTTATTATAGTTAGTCTGCTGGATTTTCATTTAGATGATCTTGATCTGATTGGTTATTGCGTGAAAAGTTTACTGTTCTTAGCACTATTCTCATGTTACTTAAAATACATGGCAAGTTTTTGCATGGAAGGATGGATTCATACTATTAGTCCAATGCTATCTTTTACAAAATGTTTTTTTCCTGTAGGACAAAGGAAAATGTTTCTTTTGGTGATTATTCATTTTTCTAATTTCTATCATCAAGTGAAGCAGATGATTTGACTGTTTGCAGATTCGCGATTATAGGACAGACTGGAACCTTGAAGTGAACCAACCAGCTGCTGGAAATTACTATCCAGTATGTTTCTTCTAGAAGCAACTGTTTTGGTTAAGTGAGGAAAGATTTCTTCTTGGATTAACAGCTAGATTATTCATCTTTTATTGATAATGGAAACCTGTTTTCTGCTTATGACTGATAGGGTTGTCTTTTCTATTTTCATAAATTTGATCATTTGGAAGTGCTGGGAAGAATTGATGCTATGTGTTGTTATTTGATCATCACCTTTTGTCATTGCTTTTAACATGTCCATCTGTTTCTATCATAATTTTTACTATTGCTGGTGTTCTAGTAAAAAATAAGTCATTTAACTTTTAATGTTTACATATGCTTCCTCCAATAATATCAGTTTTTATGTCATACTTGTGCTTTTAGATTAATCTTGGAATTTATACCCAAGATGCTCAGAAAGAATTTTCAGTTTTGGTGGATCGACCTCTTGGAGGATCTAGCTTAGTGGATGGACAAATAGAGCTGATGCTCCATCGGTATGTTATCACCTTTCTGATATTCAATCCATGATTTTGAACAGCTTTTGTATATCGTCTTGAAAAATTGCTATTGATAGTTACTCGATTCTTTTCTTTTTCTTTTTTTTTTTTTTTTTTTTTTTTTTTTTTTTTCTTGTATATCGTCTTAAAAATGCTTATGATATACTCGATCTTTTCTTTTTCTTTTTTTTTTTTTTTTTTATGTCTTTTGTTATTTGTAATATAGGTTTGTATGAAAACAGTTATTTCATACCAAAGCAGATGTGCCCTTACACACAAAAAATAGATCTTATATGCAGAAGGAAAGCCACAAATCTAAAAACATCAAAAGGCATTCACCATTTTTTTTTTTTTTTTTTTTTTTTTGTCTTTTGTTTTTGTAATTATTTTTGTAATGAAAACAGTATTTCATACCAAAGAGATGTGGCCTACACACAAAAAATAGATCTTATATGCAGAAGGAAATCCACAAATCTAAAACATCAAAAGGCATTCACATAATGTCCACAATGCCAAAATTGCCAGTCATAAGCCTATTATTGGTGGAAGCAGAAAAAGATTTCTCCTCTTTCTCGAAGGCCCTCCTGTCGCATTCTGCCTAAACTATCCAAAAGTAGTTAATGAACTGATGTAGGTTAAAACTGTGATTTACATGAGGGTGGGTTTTGTAGCATTACTTTATAAAAGTTCCATTTTGTAATGTATAAAATGGAGTAAATGCTGGCCTTTAAGACTTAAAAACAAGTTTTGTGTTCTCATGGCATGACCGATATGTAAATGGGTCTAAGTCTTCTCTGCTACCCTCATCAAACAACATTACCAGATGTGGAATTGATACTTTTCTTGTGATATAGGAGACTGCTACTTGATGATTCCAGGGGTGTTGCAGAGGCTTTAAATGAAACAGTTTGTGTTCAAGATCGTTGTGAAGGATTAATGGTGAGCACATTTTACTCAACATTCATACTCAAGTGCAGCAATCAGCTAGTTCTTCAAAATAGTTCTGTTTTTACAATTTAAGACCCACATGTTGCAGTTTGATTTGTTAAGTTCTTAATTCTTGACTAACCTTTATTGTTAATCTCATCATATCCATGGTGGTTATTTTATCAATTGCCTGTTTCCATTTAAGTCTGCTTGAAAGTCCTCATTGACATGTAATACCATTCATGTTTAAAGCTAATGTCTGTCTTAACTGATTTCTATTTTTGCAGATCCAAGGAAAATATTATTTCAGAATTGACCCTGTAGGAGAAGGTGCTAAGTGGCGTCGTTCTTTTGGCCAGGAGATATATTCACCCCTGCTACTGGCCTTTGCTGAAGAGGTGAAGTTACAATTGAATGAATGCAAAATGTCTTGTGAATTGATTCTTAAAAGTAATTTCTTTGTGCAGGATGGAAATAACTGGATTAATTCTCGTGTAACCACTTTCTCAGGCATTGATTCCTCCTATAATTTACCTGATAATGTTGCTGTTATAACTCTTGAGGTAGTTCCTGCTTCATTATTTTGAAAGGAATTATTTTTTCCGTGCTTAGTTGATTTAGTGAGACAGATAAAAGGAATGATAATCTTCTTTGAATTTAGGACTGTTGTAGCTAGCTGCATAACACGCTACAAAACGATAACTAGTTAATTGCTTGGTGTTAGTATTTTCTTCTGATTAATATGTCCTTTTCCCTCATAATAACCCTCTCTTTCTCTGAAATATACAGGAACTTGATGATGGAAAAGTTTTACTTCGGTTGGCACACCTATATGAGGTTTATATACTTTCCTACTGTGGTCTTGCATGTGTCTGAACTCGACTCATTTGTTGATGAGATCTCATGAATATGTCTCTAACATCATATTTTGTGCTATACTTCATTTGAATTACATTTTGTTGATAGGCAAACTACTACTAAAATTGTTAACCAGAAGAAACACCAACAATGGCATTCCTCCTATCGCTAACTAGGGAATGGTTGTAAAAATAATAGAAAATGCTACCATTTGTATACTTAGCATTTATTTGGCAATATGGTTGTCCCTCATTTTTTGGCAAATTTTCTTGAATATCAAAACAATATCGCTGGTGCTGCCATTTTTTTATAGGAAAGCAGCAGCAACTTGCTGCTGTTGATGGTAGTGATTAGTGATACACATTACTGCTTTTAGGACTGGTAAGAAACAGCTCGACACATAAATGCAGAAGCCCACAGTATTCCCTATGAAGAATACTTCTATCTCTCTCTCTCTCTCTCTCTCTCTCTCTCTAGTGCCTCTGTGTGCATCTATAATTTAAGTGACAATAGTAGCTAATATTTGATTGGATTGACTGTTCATTTCTGTCCAATTTGGATCTCCAACCTCAGGGTTTGCTTCAAATTTTTATTTGTTTGTTTGCCCGGCTTCATGAATGCATGTGCAGATTGGAGAGGACAAGGATCTTTCTGTGACGACGAGTGTAGAACTGAAGAAGTTGTTCCCTGACAAGAAGGTTGAATCAATAGTCTCCTGACACTTAGCCAGGCATCATATTTTACAAGCTCTTATAATGCTTTTCTTCTTTCTGGTCCCATGTTTTATTCAGATTATTAAAGTGGCAGAAATGAGCTTATCTGCCAATCAAGAAAGGACTGAAATGGAAAAGAAGAGACTTGTCTGGAAAGCTGAGGACTCAGAAAGACTTCGCGGAGCAATAACTAGGGGTAGACCTGTAGATCCTGCAAAACTGGTGGTAGAACTTGCTCCGATGGAAATCCGCACCTTTGTTATTGATTTTGATCGCATGCCTCATCTCAAACACCACCTCCTATTTGATGTCTGATGGCAGTGGGATATTACAGGGAAAGTTCCTAACAACCCTGGGCGTCCATTGTGCTGATTTCAGATATCTTTTTTACCCCATGAGTGTGCAGTTGGACTGTTGGTCTTATTTTGCTGATTATATATGCTCTGTATCATAGAGGTCAAGTGTGGTTGTGTGTAATAAGTAATAATTCTGTTTCTTCCATCTTAATGGAGTGGAAATGTGAGAAATATTTTTCATACAAGTTCTGTTTATTTGTGTTTGATCAGTGGTTGCAAAATGTCCAAGGAAAGAACAATATAAGAAGATTAAAGAATGATCCAGAGCTCGAAACATCATGTATACGTATTTGTGGATTCTGCAAAAGGTGTCGAAAGTGAAGTAACCTTATTGTTGCATTAAAGCCATCCTCGAAGATTAAAACTATTATCTGTTAAAATAATTAAATAAAATTTTACTGATAAGTGAGAATATGCATGCTCCACATGTAAAGCACACTTGATATAGCAGGTTTGGGTGACCGGTTAAAGTTCTTCACGTACTTATTCGACGATTAAAAATCATGCTAAGTTTTTGATTCTTTGGATAACACAAATTAATATTCTTCAATTTGTTTGAAGAATCAACGATGTTCAATACTTTTTTTTTTTTTCTTTGAAGAATCAACAATGTTCAATGCAAAATTCAGTTCCAATTTTCACAATGGTTTTTTCTTAGTGATTGATTTTTCTTGTATGACAAAATTTCAATGGTAAAACATTCCAATCGTATGAATTAATAATTCATACTTGTTCGACATGCAAAATTAATAGAACAAACAATTCCTCCATTTAGAATATTCCTTATGTATTCACCTTCGTTGAGCTTGCCATGCGGGACTCAATAAGGGGCCTCACCAGTCGCAGAAGGAAGACAGGAAACAGAGAGCCTTTCAGGCAGGTGAACTAGTACTACCACGTTGTTTCTTTTTATTCCAAATTCAATCATTAACTAGTTGATTATAAATTTATAATATATCCCATTAATTTGCAGAAAGGATGAATACCAGTTAACTTTCAAGTCATGCCATGCACGGAGATACAAACAGAAATGATTGAAGTTGGCATCATAAAGACTAATTCGAGACATAAATCATTTTTCAACAAACTATTAAGCTATATGTTGGTCCCTGCAGATTCTTGCCAAATAAAGGACAGAATCATAATAAATTGTCTTCCAATAATAGGCAATATCCATAAAAAAGCTACCAAGGAGCAATGAAAAGCAAAGCTTGTACATAGAATATGATTTGCAAGAGAAGCTATCTACAGTACAATTTCTACACCCATTAGTTACATTCCGTCAAGGTATATCTAAGCAAACCAATCCTATAATCACCGTGTGCTTTTGTGATTGATCGTTTAAGTTGAACACTTGCCCAAGATTATTTAGAAAGCTCTATGATTGCTGCCGGCCAACTCCAACTCCAAGTTCTATAATTGCAGTGGGGCAAAATTACTTCAGTATGTTTGGACATAACATGTGTTCCCTGTAACTGGTTTCATAACCATTTGTTAATCCAACGAATATTATTAATAAAATAAAATCTGACGGTAGAAAGTAATTTCTGTATTAATATAGAATAGTTATATTCTGTACTGTAATTTTGTCCCTTATTGATATGCTTTGTAAATACATTAATACTAATTGATGAGAAAACTATATTGAATACCACTTACAAAGTTACAGTATGTTTTTTTTTTTGATTAATAAAAAATATGAAAGGAAAGAAAATTAAGAAGATAAATGATATAGATTTTCTTTGCGTTGCTTGTGTGGGAGCAAAAAGACCACGAGAAAAATATAAATATAAATAGAAAATAAATTATGAGACTCATGTGTCATTTTTTTTTCGATTTTAGAAAAAAATTTTTTTAAAAAATCAAAATTACAAATTTACTCTATTTATTATTTTTTGATAAAAAGTAAAGATATAACTCATAATTTTACTGTTTATAAAATCATTTTCCCTCCTTATTTTTTTTCTCAAATATCTAAATATTAAAAGGAAAAATATTTTTATATATTTTCCACTAATATTTTTTCCCTCCCTATCCATACATTCTTAAGTTTATGATTGGTAAAAAGGTTAAAAATTCAGGGGCAGTACCGTAAACCAATCAAACCGATATTCGGTGCAGATGCGGCGGATACCGGTAGGGCGGAGAGAGTGTGTGTATAGAAAGTAATTGTATTAATAAAGACAGAAGCTTTGTAAAATAGTGGTGGAACAGCAAGCGAACAAGCTACTTACCAGAATTTTCGTTTTGAAATTTCATGTCCATCTTGCCTATCCAAGCCCAAGGTTCCACTTCATCTTCTTCGTTTGACTCGATCCCTACAAGCCCTAATTCTAATCATGGCACCTCTTCTCAATCTCCTTCTTCTCTCTCCCGCCAATTCCAGTCCATGCAATTCATCGATGATGCTCAATCTCAATCTCCAATCGCTGTATCAGGTGCTTTCTTTTTTGTATTCTAGGGTTTTCATTTGCTGATATGTTAAGAGAATTTTGAAGTGCTGAAATTAAACGTGTTTTGTATATATGGATTAGGCTAAGTTTCTGAGCGCTAGCTGTTATTTGTTTTATCTTGTTGTAGCTCTCCGCTTGAAGCCACTACTTCTTGGCTATTATGTATTGTATGTAAAAATGGGTAATTTCGTTTGCAATATTGGCTTTTTGTATGTTTGAGTTGACATTAGTTAGAGTGATTACTGTAGTTCTCGGTAGTGTTTTTGATGCAATTCAATGTGGATAATTATTCATATTTAATGGCATATGACAGGCTTATCGGCTCCAGCAGCCGAATACTCGGGTGGATCTTCCAAAAAGGTAGATTTTTTTTTTAATATTCTATGTTGTAGTCAACTTTTCCACTCTGCTGTTTTGTAAAGCACCCATTTAATGTTGTAGCTTGACAAATTTGTTAATGTGGATGTCTAAAGGAACAGAAAATAAACTGCGGAATAAGAGATTATGTAAGAAGTTGTTTTCTACTGGACTTGACTGCTTAAATTTATTTTTTTATATTTATGTTTAGGTGAATGAATTAAGGGCATCAAATGGGGAAAGCAGTTTGTCTCAACAAAATGGAGAGATGCATCTCCAGTCTCCCCTTGATGGTCAAGGTGTTGGATCTGCTCGGTCCAAAGGGAAAATAAGTACTTGGAACTGTGCTCCAGGAGGGAATGGCCCCATCAGTGGTCCAGGAGGGAATGCATATTCAACAGGAAGAAGAGGCCAGATGATGAATGCTAACCATTTACTGAATTTTCAGTATGACCCGATTGCTCGGTCTCAACCAAGAGCTCCTCCTCCAAGACGGCAGCAGAAGATAAAGCCTTATAACAAGGATTTATTCCTTCAGGCTAATTACAAGTTTGTTGTGTTAGATACAGGGAATTATGCTCCTGAATTAATGGATCCTGATAAAATGCTCAGGTGGGAGGATATTATTTGCGTGAGATATGCCACCCCATTTCCAGTGCAATGTCCTATTTGTTTGGAATATCCTCTGTGCCCACAGATAACTTCGTGTGGACATATATTTTGTTTCCCCTGTATTCTTAGGTACTTGCTAATGGGCAAGGAGGATCACAAAGGTGATTGCTTTAAAAGATGCCCTTTATGTTTTGTTATGGTATCTCAAAAGGATTTGTACACCCTCTACGTTGAGACTCTTAAGCAGTACTGTGTTGGTGATAATATAGAATTCATGCTTCTAACCCGGCAAAGAGGTTCTTTTACTCCATCTCAGAAAAATAAACCAGAGATGGATACCAGTCCAAGTTGCAATAATGATGTCTATGATCCATTCTTAAAGTTTACATTTACTTCAGATGTGGAACTGTCAGTGAGAAAAGCAATATCAGATTTGGATAGTTGGTTAGCCAAAGCAGATTCAGGGCTTGTAGATGACTTGGAGAAGCTTCCTTATGTTTGTGCTGCAATGGAGCAACTAGAACAGAGGAAGAAATATTGGAATGAGCAGCAGGTGGGCTATAATAATATAAATTGTAAATGTGCTAAGAGTCAGAAACAATCTCAAGAGCTTTTGTCAAATCAAAATTTGAACTGTGCTTATCAAAACTCTAGTTCTAGATGTTCAGTGCAGTCTATTGATGCCAGTGATGGAAATAAGTACTTGCGCAATGTGAAGTTGGACATGATTGAGTCATTAGAAGGTCACGATTCAGTTTTACCATCTTCATTTGATGAGAGCAAGAGTTTGCAGAAATCCTTTAATGGATCAAGAGATGTTAAGTACAATGACTCTTACAATTTCTACCAGGTTAGTGCTATGGGGATTATATTTTCCTTATTTAGTGTAGTTACCAATCTGTGCAGCCGTCAGGATATAAATATTGCACATTTAGGCAGTTCTGTAGGCATTACTATAGATCATTTATGTGGATCATACAAGGAGTTCATAACTCGATTTAGCTGACATGATGTTACTGAATTTCTGGACAGAAAGCATGCTCCTTTTTTTTTGTAAGTATAGCATGTGTGTGCATGATATCTTGATCATTTTCATACTCTGTTCCTTTCAGTTAGATGCAGAATGGCAATAACCCATTTACTTTTTTCATTTAGCTTTGTATTTAATATGGGAGGGCAATGACTCCTATTATTTAGCAAGTTGTTGTAACTAAGAATGGGTGGCATTCCCATGATATTGATGGACTGAAGGTAGATAGATTCAACAAGTGAATACCATAGTTTGACGCCCACTGAAACTTCATAGCTCTTTTTTCCTGAGAATAGAACTTCAGTAACCTTTCTTGTAGGATTATATGATTTTCAGCTTTTATGTTCATACAAGATGATCTTTATCTGCAAGTTTGACTTTTGTATGTGATTGGTTGGTCCTTTGTGTAATGCAACTCATGGGTAGAAAACAATTAACTGCTTTTAGTTTATTATTTCACTTATGAGTGGGTGTTGATATTGTGTCGTTGTTCTTCTAAGTCTACACTTAATAGGGTGCCAGGATTCATTTCTATTAGCAACTTTGTATGGATTGTGAAATACAACGGGTGGCATTGTATTCATATAGTGTATTGGACAGAAGGCTGGTACCTAAAACTTGTGAATATCATAGGTTTTAAGGTGGTACAAACTTTCTTGACAGACAGTAATTGTGAGATGAATGGGTTGTTTTCCTCTTCCCATTGGATACACTCAACATGATGATCATTGGCATTATTATACAAATATTTTGATGTTGGGTTGTTGCTTATTCTCTGCTTAAATGTCTATTCCAGGCAGTTGACGGTCAGCACCTTATTCTTCATCCTTTAAACATGAAGTGTCTTCTACACCATTATGGGAGCTATGATATGCTTCCTCAGAGGTATGAGGAACTCTTTAAGTTTCAAATTCCTCCGAATCTGTGGATGTGAAAGTACAATATAAAGCAAAATGGAAGAACAATCAGAACAACAATAACAAAAAAAAAAAAAAAAAAAAAAAATCATTCTCTGCTTATAAATGATATTAGTCCGAGGCAAGTTGACGGGTCCGCAGCCACCTAGTTCTTTCATCCCTCATTGAAACATGAGTGTCTATTAATCTAAACAGCATTATGGGAGCTATTGATATGGCTTACCTCGAGAGGGTATCGAGTGAACTCTTTAAAGTTTCAAAATTCCTCCGAACTCTGTGGATGTGATAAAGACAGATACTAAAGTCAAAAATGGGGAAGAACCAATCAGAACAAATAACAAAAAAAAAAAAAAAAAAAAAAAATGGAGGAAAGGAAAATTCTTTGGGACAAAAAGCTTCTCTGGTCACACAAATACTTTATTTTTAAATTTAAAAAAAAAAAAAAAAAAAAAAAAAAAAAAAATGGAGGAAAGAAATTCTTTGACAAAAAGGCTTCTCTTGGTGCAAATACTTTATTTTTAATTTAATCACGTCTCGACAGTCTCTCTCTCTCGTACGTTGGAAATTTGTAAAGGGGATGGGAGTTCCAAGAATTGAACCTGGACCTCGTGCACAGTTGCATTATGAGGCCACTGAGCTACTGGCCCAAATACAGTCTTGTAATGGTTGTCACTATGGTCAATTTGTGTCACCTAATCTTCAATTTTTAAGGAAAAATTATTTCCATATTAGTATTTGCTTTACATTTAATTTTTCTGCAAAATCTGTTGAAATAATTTATCCTAAAAAAAAAAAAAGAATCCTGTTGAAATGAATGGATGTAGGAAAGCAATATTTATTCGTACTTTGCTGATTATTTTGTGAGCATTACAGTAAACTGTTGGAAGTCAAAATACAGTGTCCTCTTAATTGTTTCTTAATAAATGTTCTGCGTCAATTAACTATTACTTTGTCAATTGCAGGATAAACGGAACAATTTTGCAGTTGGAAACAGTGACTCAGTCAGAAGCAATGAGAAGGCGATATCGATATCTAAGTCACTTTTCATTAACGACCACGATCCAAGTATCATTTTTGCTGTTGACTTTTCTGTATTTAGCATCTCCTTTTCTTCTTTATATACTGATCACAGGTTCTCTTTTTCAGCTATGTGAAATTGATTTGAGTGGGATGCTAACTCCTGCTGCGCTGCTTCCATTCATGGATGAGATCAAGAAGCGTGAGAAGCAGAGGAAGAAACTGGCCCAAAAGGTGTTGTCTGCTTTGTATTATATTTCGCCTGCTTATGTAAATATCATTTTTTGGAGCAGATTGCACGTATGATTCTTGTAGTTAATATGTATGTGAGAAAGGTGGAGGTTATCCTTAATTAGTACAATTTTATGATAGAGCTAGATGTGAGCTGTCAAAACTGAGTACCGTTTTATGTAATGAAAAACCTGAAAGAAAAATGATACCTTTGAAGAATTTTGACTGATTTTTTTTTTTTTAATTCTGGAAGATTTATGGAAATACATATTCTGATTATTTGTTCATTTCTTCCAACTTCCATAAGAAGTTGTATCATGAATTTCCTATGCTTTATAGAATTATATGCTATTCTTATTTATAGGAACGAAAAGAGAAGATCAAGGCCGAAGCTGCATCTGCACATTCTATGCCAGGTTTATCCAGTATTGGACGCTCCTTTTGCGATGACTCCCCTAAATTTTCTATGGATGACTTTGAAGGTAACTTTTTGATGTTTATATTGTTGATTGTAAGCACTTGCTTTCTAGTAATGTTTAGGTATCTTAGGATGATAGTTATGGTTAGGAACTGTCTCAGAGGGGAAAAATTAATCTTGAGAAATTCCATATTGATAAAAAAAGAAGCTCAGTATGACCTTCTGCAGTGCATCTCTCTAAAAGTAATTTCTGGTAGATGTTCTTGTTGAAACAAGTGATTCTACAATTTCCTGTGCATGATATGGATCAGGAAGTCACATTTCATCTTCTTTCTTGGAAATTTCTTTGCAAAGTAACAAGGGTCAGAGAAAGGGGAAAAGTACAAAAATGCACCCTGAGGTTTGTCACTTTGTCGGCATGTGAAATTTTTTGGACAAAAGGGGTTTGTGTTTTATTCTTTAACATTTAGGGGGGTCTATTGCTTTAACATTGTTGGTCCATACTAATGCAGCATGGGTACATTGGATTTTACATATTGTTTGGGAGACAGAGGAAAATGGAGGAGAAAAGTGAGGAGTGAAAATAGGGTGGAGAAATTTAATTTCTCCTGTTTGCTAAGAGGAGCATATTTTTACTTGGTTTTTTCGAAAAGGTTATTAAAGTTACTTGGTGAAATTTGCTTTATTGTGGGCATAAAGTTTCTTTACATTGTGAACTTTCAAGGATCCTTGTTCTGGTACTGAGGAATTAGGCCTGTCTACGATGACTTCTTGGACTACATTGTTGTCAGCTTACAGATTGAGATGGTTTTGTAATCTAAAAGACCTTTATTGGATATAGAACTTGTACTCTTGTTGCAATGATGAACACTTTTTATTCCTATAACCTTTTACTGAAGGGTGCAAATGCTTACTGGGTTCCTTGACTGGATTATATTTTGTGGTTAACTCCAGTTGCTTTGTTCTTTTCTTTTTTTTTTTTTTTTTTTTTCCAGTTGCTTTGTTCTTTTCTTTTTTTTTTTTTTTTTTACAGCTCTTGGAAAGTTCCACGGAATGTCCATCAAGCCCTCAATGTCTTCAAGTCCTCCAGTTTGTTGGGGAGAGATTAACTGTTCTCAAATGTCAGATGTACGGCTGGTTTTTGCTGCTGGCCATGGTTCACCGGCCTTGAGAACTGAGGAAACCAGTGCTTTGCCATAACAAACCAAAAAGGTGGGGAAAATGATTCTTCAATTTTTTTTTTTTTTTTTTTTTTTCAGCTCTTGGAAGTTCCACGGCAATGTCATCAAGCCCTCCAATGTCTTCAAGTCCTCCAGTTGTTGGGGAGAGATTACTGTTCTCAAATGTCACACGGCTTGGTTTTGCTGCTGGCCATGGTTCACCGGCCTTGAGAACTGAGGAAACCAGTGCTTTGCATAACAACAAAGTGACAAATGATTCTTCAAGTGTATCCGGTATTTATCTAGTTTAAGGACTCACAACTCCCTGTATCTCTTTCTCAATTTTCTCTAGATTTAAATACCTTGATAGCATATAGAGATCTAACTGATGAGAACAATAGCACGTAGGGGTAGCATGTTTTATTTCTGTGGCCATGAGGCACAATCTTTCCTTGGTTCTGCAGGTACAAAAAATTCAGGCACACCATCATTTGCCAATGTAATATCTAGAGTGAAGTCAGGAGAAGCTCTGGATGCACCCAAGACAAATGAAATTGGAAAGAAAGGAAAGAAATCGAGTCGAGTCCTTTTGTCAACTGCAGGTGGTCGACGCTACTAAAGTATATGTTCAATCTCTTCAGATGTTCTTGGCCTGTGTTTATTCTGAGACTTGACCTTGTGAAATGAAATTCTGTTCGAATTACTATGACTATGTAAAGGTGTTACTCTGGGATTGAAATATTATACTAAAATAATATTTCATAATGTGCATTTTTTTTGGCTCGCTTCTGATTAGCTAGTTGGTGAGGATGTCTCGTTGTGGTCTTTAGAAATTCTGTTGCCATTATTTTGGATATGTATTTTGGGCAAGAGGTAGTATTCACTGGTAAAGCATTAACTGAGTTTTGAAATACGCTAAAAGAAAATCATGTAACTGACAAAAAGGAGTTAACAAGCAGTCAAGCAGTTGATGTAGGCTGTGAAGAGGTCAGAAATGGACAGGACAACTGGTTAGCTTGATGACCTGTAATGTTATATGTTAGGCTTTGTAATTCTTGATACGATTGAGTTTGGAGTTGTTCATCAAAATTACATTTCATTTTTTAAAAAAATTTTGATTGCATTTCATGGTTGTAGGAAAAAACTAGAAGATTTAGCTTTTTTTCCCAAACCATGCTTTACTAAGCCTTAAATATTGTAAAAATATGTTGTTAAAAGCAGTTGAACAGCAATGTAAAACGGCACCGCCCGAATAAAATTGATTTCGACACATTGATTTCTATTACTCAAATTCAAAATAGGAGTGTTGGTCGTTGGAATATCATAATTTCCATTTTGCTTGCTCCTAGCTTTCATAGGCACAACAAAAGGTTCTAATTTTCTTTTCCAAGGAAGACAGAAAAACATGGAAGATACTCAAAACTTACAAACGTATCTTGTTCTTTGTTGGAAAGCAACTCAGGGGCTTAGGCAGATAAAACTTGGTTGATCCAGTAGCATAGCCAAGAAAGCATCACTAATCCGCCATATGTCAGAAGCTAGTTCCCAAAAAAGAAAAAATTAATAACAGAAACTAGTCAGACTCAGCATGTTAATCTACCCGGAACACTATGGCATTGCCATCCTAGTACTTACTATTTACACACAAGTAGCCAATAGCCATGTTGCCATAATTATTGTTACACTTCAGCCTTAAAGAACTTAATTCAGAGATAAATGTTAAGGTTAAAATTAATTAGGAGGCGGTGCATTGGGCTCTAGGTGCCAAGAGTCTTGAGGAATATCATGAGCCTCAGCTCCTGGAACAGTAAAGGCTGGTATTTGATGAGAGAAACTGGGCATTTCTGTTCGTGGAACTGCCCTAACCAATTCAAAGCCATCACAAATATGTCGTCGGAAGAAACTTGACCAACCTGGAACCTTCTCTAAGTTAGGAGCTATTACTCCAGATTCTTTACAGAAGTCTGTAACAATCTCAACAATTTGACGTTTGTAGTTAGTGAGATCATCATCCTTCCATCCAATACTCCAGTTTCTATACATTGCCCAAATTTCACCTTTGTTAGGAAAAACCTTGTACAAAGGTTTATCTGTGATTTTTTCATAGTTTACCTTATGTGAAAACCTGGACAACCTCAAGTCCAGGTAATCTCACCAGCTTTAAAAAATCCACAGACAAATGGTAAATTCTTTTTGATCCAATTTATCTCATCAATACTTATTGGATGAGGTTCCAAGAATGTTACAGATATTTCACTATTTGAAGTCACATTTTCACAATAACGTATTGGCGAGGCATTGAATGTTTACCGTAATACACAGCCCATATTTGCTCGCAATAAGATCTTCTGCTAATCTTTCTTGGCCTGGTCGTTCAGTCTTTGACTCTGGAATTGGAGTTGAGAAGCTAGGCGCACGGGTGGAGTTAGAAGAGCTCCCTATTGTCACAAAAGAGTCTAAAGTCTCCATATCTTCTTCTGCAAATTTGTACGCTGGAACTCTATGGGAAAATACAAATAAACTTCTTGTAGGAATTCGAAAAGGATTATTGTTCCCATTGTCTGTGCTATAGACATTTTTTAATCCCTTTACTTCCGCCAAGCCTGCAACCAGCAAACCATCAGGATTGGAATATTCAGTCAAAATTTGCAATATTTGCAACCTGCTGCCCTCCCTCGATTTGGGATTCGAGCACCATGCTTGCGGCCTGCAATCTCTATAAATTTCCCAAATCTCTTATTTTCTGGGGAAAATTTCAACTTGGTTACCTGCGGCTGCAGCAGGCAGAGACAGCATGTGTGAAAATGATGTTGGCTCAATGGGAGATGTTTGATTCCAATCCACATTGAATACTCCACAAACTATAGGCAATCCCACCTCAAACCATCTCTTCATTTGTCCACTCTCTGGGGCAGGTTTCAACCAGTTGATATGCATTCTATAAAGAGATTCATGAATTTCAATGTTAATTATCTTTGCGTATTTTCTTGGCAAGCCTTCATCATCATAAGTAGCCCAAACTTGACCAACTGCAAAATTTTCATTCTTTCTTATCACCTAATTTATAATAATCCTGATTCTTAGAGAATAAGACTGCAATATCACAGGATAGTTTGTTACTAGCAAAATAACAGGAGGAAATAATGTTGGTTTCAGTTTTTCCTGCACCTGCATAAATTTCCTGCGGAAAATAGCTAGCATTACCAATATCATAATCAGTAACTTTACCATATAATTCAGCATCCTCCTTCAATTTGAAGACAGTTAGACACCCTAACATCATTAACTATGGCATTTGAGACTATATCTACACTGGTTTCATCCAGAGTCTTCCATGGAAACTTTGTAGACTTCACTAAAGATTTCTGCTCTTTTATGGTTTGAAGATAACCATGCTGCAAATTCACCAATGCAAATATCCTGCAAATTTCCAGAAGCATAAGACTGCAACCTCATAGCCCTATTCATGTCAAACATGGAGCGCCCTTCTGGGTCTGAAAGCACTGTAAATGCTTCCTGAATGATCTTTAAAGCTGATGCAGCCTTGGGGAAGTTATTCTTAATGGGCTCCAGAAGTGTAAGGAACTTGTTATATTGGGTTTTCATAGCAAACTCAGTTGCATCTGGACAAACTTCAAGAACCCAATAGTAGTTAGTGTTAGAGCCTAAGAATCTGTAGCCAGCTGAGTTTAAGATATCACAAACAGTGATCATACCAGAGATGTTGTCAAAGGCTGGAAAGTGAAACTGTATCTCTAGTAACTTTTTTCTTGCACCTACATAATCAATGCTAATGATCTTTTCTTTGGCTATTTCTACTTCTTGAGGAACCTTAAGTATTCTATGATCCATCTTTTAAACAATACAATTCTTTGAAATATATTCGGTTCCTCAACAAATCTTGGGCATGAATAACCTCTTACTCCATATCTTAGTCCGATGAACCTTTCACATCTGAATGTATAGAATCAATAAATAAAAAAATATAGATAATAAATGTTGGATCAAGCAACATGTTTCAATTGAATTACATATATTAAGTTACAGCATACCATACACAAAAGCTAATCTGCAAATGAATTTTGCACTTTAAATTCATTTATACCAAATGTAGTGTAATTAAAGAAAAAGAATAAAATTAATCCTATTCATAAATCCATTACAAGGTCTTAGATTCAAATCTCGATGAAAGTGCGGTAAGTGCTTTGTTTTTAATTAAAAGTTCAAGAAATGCCATTTATCAAGAATTCTTACTATATGTAGTTTAACATCTGTCATAATATAAGAGATAAATATTGAAGTGCTAGGTTTATTAGAAAGAGAGCAATCCTTTGCTATGGAGCTTTCCAATGAAAAGAAATATAAATTTCGACTGGGAATCACTGTAATATGATGCATGAATAGACACTGAAATAGGCAAAAAAAGAAAAAAAAAACCTTCTTTCATGGGGAAAATTCCTGAACCAACTCACTGTATCCATGTCAGTATCCACTTTGCCTCTTCAATCAAAGCAAGAAAATCCCCATTGGAGTATTTGGAGACGTTCCTCAAAGCTTTATAAAACCTATATAGCTTTTCTTTTTCTTTCCTTGTCAATTCTTATAAAAGCTGACAAATGCTGTACGTATAAGATTTGCATACGGGAAGGGTTATTACAATATTATTACTATTTTATCCTTTCTTTTTCTCTCTCTCGTTTAATGTACTAGCATTTGGCCAAGAGAAAATTGACAATTGTACCCCGTTGTTTCGTACATTCTGGACCTTAGCTAAACCGGTGCGTTTTATTCTCGCTAGACAAAAACAACGTCGTTTTCTTTACCTTGCTCTCGACTCTAGTGTTCAATGGCAGCCTGGCTGTCATGGGTGTCTTCCAGACAAAAATAAATGAAAGAAGCTAACTTATTTTGCTCTGCAAGTCTCTGTTTCAGTGACTGCAAGTGAAAATGAGACCTTACAAGAACAGCAATAATAGTAGAAGACCAGCTGCTGTTCTTCACCTTCTATGCGTTGCCGCTTTTTTCTCTATCATCGTTTTTGCTATCCAGTCCTCTTTTTTTGCAGGTTTTCTTTGCTTTTCTTTAGCTTCATTTCCACTTTCTTTTCTAATTTCATATAAATCCTAATTTAATTGCACCTTTTGATCTCTGATTTTTCAGGTAATCGAAACTCAGATCTTAACAAAGAAGAAATCCATACTTTATCTGAATTCCAGTTCTCTGTTCAGCAATGCGTGGTAAGTTAGCATTTCGATTCCATCCCATTTTTACTAAATTACGTACTTATATAATAGTATCTCCTATTACGTCTCAGATCTACATCTCTGTCATAGTTTAATTGTATTGAAATGGCTTTTCGACGCGTCTGATATTTGGAATATATATATATATATATATTAATGGTTATGAGATTGAATATTGCTGCTTTTAGAGTTTATCTAAATCTAAAATAGTATGTGAAATTGGAGGTTTCAAGCTTTATGAGGGGATTGATTGCGTTAGCTGATAGAATATAAAGTAGTTGTTATGTGTCTTCTTTATATAAATTGCTGTGCTAATAGCTTCAAGATAAAATGTAGGCAAACAGAGGGCTTGGTCTGACGGCACATATTGTTGACCATTGCAAGTTAACTCTTAAGTTTCCTGAAGGGACTAACAGCACCTGGGTATGTTTCTCTCTCTCTCTCTCTCTCTTTCAGTCATATATAAAGAGTGCCTTATTTTCTGAAATTATTTTTGGAAGGTGGGGAAGAGCTGATTATTCTCTTTCTTTTAATCTCAGTACAATGCGCAATTTAAAATTTATGAGCCTTTGGAGTATCATTATGATGTTTGTGATGCAATTCTATTGTGGGAACAGGTTGGTGCTTTATATTTCCCATTTTTTTGGCAGTGACCCTTACTGAAAATGATGCATTCTAATGTCTTTAGAAATGCAGTACCGTAACATGACTACAGTGCTGACAAGAGAATACCTTGATGCTCGTCCAGATGGGTGGTTGGATTATGCAGCAAAAAGGATCGCGCAATTGTATGATGTTTGTGGCACCTTCTCTTGTTATTTTTTCATGCAATTCCTTACGTATCTTTTTCTTTTTCCAACTTCTATGACTTTGACTGCCAGATAAAGTTATATGCATTTCTTTTGGTTTCAGGGGAGATGATAAATGCTATAATCGAACTCTTTGTGAGGAACACCTTAATTTGATTCTTCCAGCAAAACCTCCGTTTCGACCACGGCAATTTCAGACTTGTGCAGTTGTTGGTAATTCAGGAGATCTCCTAAAGACAGAGTTCGGGAAAGAGATTGATAGTCATGATGCTGTTATACGAGACAATGAGGCTCCAGTTAATGAGGTAAACTGGAAAACAGTGGAACCAAATCATTAAAACGTGAGTGTGAATTATTGCTTTTACAAGCCTCCTGTGGCCTCATCATGATCAAACCACATGTTAATACTCCACCACTATTTTTTCTACTTGCTGTTGTTTGGGTGGAGGGGACTGGGGCACAAGGATTGAATGACTTCGTTAGTATTATCCTTTTGTAATCTTGTTCCGTTTTTTGTTAGGATTTCTGAATTGAATTCTTATTTCATCATGTCGTCAGCTAACATTGTGGTTTTCTGTGCTTCTTTCTTTTGGTAACTGTAGCAAAGTAATTTTATGCAAGTGCTTATCTTTCCTTTTCATGTATTGTGTAGAAATATGCCAAGCATGTTGGACTGAAGAGGGATTTCCGCCTTGTAGTTCGGGGTGCTGCTCGTAACATGGTGACGATTCTAAATGGATCTAGTAAGTTTGATCTTGTTGACACTGCAATTGAGACTGTCATCTCGATATTCTTTTTCAAATAACGAAAATCTGCCAGGCTTAGTTTGATTATAGTGCTTCTCATGTTTTAAGAACTGAAAAACGATGAGTACATTTATTTTGAAGTTGAATCTCAGTAAAGTACCAGCTGATGTCTTTCTGACTATTGTTGATTTGTTGTTTCTTTCCAGTATATCGTGAGATATCAAATGCCTGAGCTTAATCTCATTATGCTACTCCTATATCTCAATTGAAAACCTTTGTTCTTAAACATTCAAATATGGTTTGAGAAGGGAAGGGTCTAGTTAGAGCTAATAATTCTGTAGCAATAATGCATCTTCAAGAACAGGCTTAAGTCTTTTTCCTTCATTACTAGGATGACATAGAGGGATTTCTTCTTTTTTTCTTTTCTTTTTCCCATTTGGGATTCTGAGTGGTCAAAAACACAAAAGGAGGAGGTTGATCAACTTCTAGTTTTAGTTTAAATCTTTTAGTTGACCAACTCTCTGCTGATTCCCACTTATCTGTTCTCCTAAGTATTTATTTTCTAATTTGTGTTGCCTGCTTAACAAAGATGCTTGGCTATTTTAGTTTTATTCCTAAGTTCAAAAGCAATGAGAATGAGCTTTTTCTGCTGCAGCTGATGAGGTACTTATAATCAAAAGTGTGACTCACAGAGATTTTAATGCAATGATAAAGGTATCACTCTAAAATGCCAACTTTTCTTTTCTCTTTACATAGATGGGTTAAGTGAAGTAAACTGTTTGTTATTATGTCAGCAGTCATGCTGGGCTGCTAAATAATTGTTGGCCATTTGTCCCAAATAAAATTACATGCATCGCCTAAAGAAACTATAGAATGGCTTGCTTTATTCCATATAATAGGTATTACCTTGCTTCCATTTTTTCGGAACATCATTCTTTCAGTTCTCGTAGTAGGTACCTTGGCCAGGGAAATTATTATTTATTTCCTTTGTATTTTGATCAGATAACCAAACCTGCTTTTGTTGCATTTAACACTAAACAACATCGGTATTGCAGAGTATTCCAAACCCTGTTTATCTGTTCCAAGGAATTGTGCTACGCAGAGGTGCCAAGGGAACTGGAATGAAATCTATTGAGCTAGCGCTTTCAATGTGTGACATTGTTGACATTTATGGATTTACAGTTGATCCTGGCTATACTGAATGGTAAATTTAATCTTCAAGTTATTCATTTACTTTTGCTAATTAGTTCTTAAATCATTAATTTACATATATTCTTGTGGTTGTGTCTAAATATTGTGTTCATATAATAATTGAGGTCTCATGTCTTGCCATTTGTCATCTAAGATGTTTCTTAGAAGTGAGTGTGAACATGGGATTTAGAATATCTATATATGTAATTTGAATTTGAAATTTTCATCAGAAATGTTCTCTTGTATTTTTCTTTTTCTTTCCTTACCATACACATACAACATGTCAAATATGTCACAGTCACCTTCAGAGCTATATGATTTTCATAGTCATTCTTCTCAATCATCTTCAAGTTTTCTTTTGTACAGATGAGATACATGGTGCTGCCTTTTATCCCCATCTTTGGCTAATTAGTGTTGTGATATATCTTGTAGGACACGATACTTCTCTACGCCAAGGAAGGGGCACAATCCACTTCAAGGACGTGCATATTATCAACTCCTAGAGTGCCTTGGTGTATGACAATATTTCCTTCTACTGCAAAATGATTATGCAATATTTATGCTAAGTTATGTGTCTTGATTGTGTTTTATGATTTGTATGTTTCAGGTTATTAGGATTCATTCTCCCATGAGAAGCCAGAGAAAACAAGACTGGTCAGATGTGCCCAGTCGACAATTGATAAGCAGAGCTCATGCTGCTGCCTTGCGCTTGAAAAGGGGTAGTGGGTTGGGACAGTTTGGAAGTTGTAAGGTGTGGGGCAATGTAGACCCTAACAGCAGTGGGCCCATCTCAGGATCTTCAGACATGAGTGATGTCAGGAAGAACTCAAATTACAATAAATGGGAGGTCATGCCGTTTGAAAGTCTAAGAAAGGAAGCACGTGATCATTATTCCCAGATGGAAGGCGTCTCTCTCTACAAAATGGATGGCAATAAATTGGATGATCTGGTATGCGTTAGGCACTCCTCAAGATCAGAAGCATGAACATAAGCTTTGCACTAATCTTGCATTTTGTGATTCAACTGGTTGAGAGCTGGCAGACTTCTGCTGGTTGCTATTATTTTGACGTGGATCCATTAGATGGGCCTCTTGGATGATGAATCTGTTAACTTGCCATTTTGCTTCTATTGTTTGATCACTTAAGCGAAGTGATTAAATGTATATCAAGTGTTCCTAATGAAATTCTTGAAATTTGGGACCCATTGTGGCAATGCAAAGGAAACATAGCAAGTAATACAAACCTCTGTACCACATTACTGAATCTGCTTGGAAATGGTGGAACCATAGGATTTTCAACTTCGTGCAAAGGAGACATTGTCTGCTAATTCAATGTACAAAGCCTTCTTGCTTTCTCGGAATTCTTCTAAGGAATTATAGCAGCAAAAAGGGCTATTGATAATAGAAACTGCGGTTGTGAGTGTTTGTCATGCTTTGTTTATACACTGATTCTGAGGGTTTGACATGTATCCTGCTTAAATCGATTTTGACATTTAAGAGATTTTAAAGAAAGATTCATCTTCAGTTGTTGGGGGGCTCGATGGTTCATATAGAATATTTTTTCATGTGGAGCTACACATTTTATCTTATTTAATTTATATATTGGAAAATATTGAACATTGTCACACAATGAAATGTTGTCATGTTGCATTGTTATTGCTCAACAATCAAGTTGATGATGTTAGGTTTATTTTGTTTCCAATCTATGTATTAGTAAATATTGTGTTTGGAAATTGAAAATAAATCCTTCAGGGAAAAACATATTTTCCTCTAACAAGACTGATTATGGATAGAAAGCTGCAGGAAACAGGTCTTATTTTATGATGGTTATTATTATTATTATTATTTTCAGAACCAAATAAACTGTGAATCTCAATTTTTTTTTTTAAAAAAAAAAAACAAAAAAAAAAGGTTCACTTAAACAAGACTGATTATGGATTAGAAAGCGCAGGAAAACAGGTCTTATTTTATGATGGTTATTATTATTATTATTTAATTTTCAGAACCAAATAAACTGTGAATCTCAATTTTTAATCTCAATTTTTTTTTTTAAAAAAAAAAAACAAAAAAAAAAGGTTCACTTTTTTGGTCAAGTATGCTATAACTGAGGTTGAACTCATAATTCCACAATCTTGGAGTTTTAACCCTGGTTACTGATGGATAAGAGCTAAGAAGCTGATATGTACTAGGCTAACACAAAATCATGTCCCATTCACAAAGACCGATAGGTAGACCTGCTATCAATTTATGAAGAAAATTGCAGGTAGGCTCATTGGAATTTATGCAATCCCATTAGTAAATACAAACATTAATTATAACATTATGAAAGATAATATCTAAAAGATTTTTTGAAATAAAATATCTCCAAGGTGACAGGAACCACCTAAAGTTTCTCCATCTCTCACTAACCTTCAGAACAGCAAACAGGAACCTTATCCAAAAAAATTGCACAAATATCTTATCTCTGTACTTATCCTATAAATTAGAAGTCTTTCTTTAGTATCTTTGAATCATCCATTGATTATCACACACATCTTCACAACAACATTATTATCAAGATGCAGGCAGCTCTAACAATTGCACCTCCTGTTGTCCCTTTAAAACCCTCAAAGAATCTCTCACAGGTAACCTTTTCTCCGCCAAAATTCGGTGTTTCATCAATTGCTCCCCGTAGCTCTGCAATCAAAGCAGCTACTGCTACTGTAGAATATGAACCATCCACGGTTGATTATAGCTCTACCCTCTCGTAAGCCATTTACTTCTCCTTTATATGATTCTTAAATGATTTTTAGAAACTGGGTTTTATTACAATGTTAAGTGCTGGGCTCTGATCATATGGTTAAGTTCATCACAACGTTTATTTAGTAATTAACTAGCATTTGTTTGATGAACAGTGTGTTTCCAGCAGAGGCATGTGAAACTATCGGTGGAGAAGCCTGTTTGGCAGACATATATCCTGAAGTAAAGCTGGAAAGGGAGGCCAGAAATGAAGCTGGAATTGCCTCAGAGCCTATTGAAAGAGAGTATCTTGACTACAATGACGCCAAGACGTAATGCCTTCATAACCCAGATAATTAAATACCTTAACTTTTTGAAATTTTTGCGTAATTAAGCTCTAATCAGAATTTGACAGTCCTGAAGATGATCTCTTTGTGTAGGGTTTTTGTTGGAGAGGCTTGTGATGATCTTGGGGGAGAATTCTGTGGATTTGAGTATCAGAAAGGTGTCTACTAGAGGAAGAGAGACAATACATGTCCAGATATACTAATTAAGGACCTTTTTTCTTTCTTTTTTTTTTTTTCTTTTTTAATGTATATATTTCCTACCAGTATTAATACTGGGTTATGTACTGTAATTGCATAATAATTTGCCATTAATATACATATTTAACTTTGGGAATTTATATATATTATGCAGATAGCATGAAGGGAATAAAACCCCGCCAAAAAAAAAAAAAAAAAAAAAGCATGAGGGAATAAAACCCGCCAAAAAAAAAAAAAAAAAAAAAAAAAAAAAAAAGGAAAACTATATATATTTACGTTCTGGGTTATTGAAATAAGAGTATATGATGAGGAGACATTCTAAAGCCTAGAAAAGAAAAGACAAAAAAAGAATTGATTAGAGGAAAGGTAATACTTAAGTTTCATAAAAATTATTTAAACCTAGATTAAATATATTCTACAAGACTATATATTTCCAAGAAAAAAAAAAAAAAAGACGAAAAAATCAGCTACTTAAACTAAAATTTATAAAAACTTAAAAATGATAATTTAAGCTAATTGATGGACAAATAATGTATAGTTGGTAGTCATGTGCTTCTTGCTCATTCTTTAGGGACTTGGTTGGAGTTTTATTTATGCCAGAAGAAAAGTCTCTCTTTCGATTGCTATTGGCATAATATTTTACTTGGGTTTTACACTATTCAAGCAGTATAATGAGTTAATGACTATAAGAATAAGTAATACTTAAATATCATAAATTTTATGAAACTTATCTTAGATTGAAAATTCAGGATAAAAATATACTTATGTATTATCGGAAAATCAGCAACCTTAATTAATGTGTTTTATACATGATAATTTAAGTTAAATTTCTTAATTCAAGCAATGGATAAATACCTTGTAATTGGCAGCTTTGTGCTTATTTTACATATTTTAGAGGCTCTATTCAAGTTTCATTTAATCGGTTGCTTCAGCGCGCGTAAGTCGGAACGGTATCCATTTTCATATGAAGTTATTACACAGAAAAATTCCACTTAAAAACCTTTCTTCTCTGGCAGCGAAAAATTCATACCCAAATGTCAAAACCTGCATCGATGCTCGTATTGTTAAAACGGGTTTCGATCCAAGCACATCTCGCTCCAATTACCAGATCATGGATCTTGTTCAGACTGGCCAGTTATCTGAAGCACGCGAACTGTTCGATCAAATGCCTTATAGAAACACCATTTCATCAAACGTGATGATTTCGGGCTACTTGAAAGAAGGAAAACTCTCTATAGCTAAAGAAATTTTTGATAGCATGGTGGAACGTAATGCTGTGACGTATACACTTTTGATTGGCGGGTACTCGAAGAGTGATCAATTTATAGAAGCGTTTAAGCTTTTTGTTCGCATGTGTAGGAGTGGGACGAAGCCTGATTATGTGACATTTGTAACTCTTTTATCAGGATGCAATGACCCCAAAATGATAAAAGGATTATTTCAAGTTCATTCCCATGTCGTTAAATTGGGACATGATTCAGCAGTTATTATTTGCAATTCATTGATTGATTCTTACTGCAAAATGCATTGTGTAGATTTAGCTAGTCAGTTATATAAGGAAATGCCTCAAAGGGATTCCGTTACTTATAATGCATTGATCGCAGGATATGCAAATGAAGGGTTTAACAAAGAAGCAATAAAGCTTTTCATGGAGATGCGAGATTTGGGATTTGAGACTTCAGATTTTACTTTCCAAGCTGTTTTATATGCTGGTATTGGGTTGGATGATATAGCATTTGGGCAACAAATCCATGGTTATGCTGTGAAGACCACTCTTATATGGAATGTGTTTGTGGGGAATGCCTTGCTTGATTTCTACTCAAAGCATGATTGTCTAGTTGAAGCTAGGAAACTTTTTTATAAGATGCCAGAATTAGATGGTGTTTCTTATAATATGATGATCACAGCTTATGCTTGGACTGGACTAATCAAAGAATCTATTAATCTTTTCCGGAAGCTACAGTTTACAAAATATGATAGGAGGAATTTCCCTTTTGCAACCATGTTGAGTTTAGCAGCAAATATGTTAGACTTGCAAATGGGCCGGCAACTCCATTCCCAAGCCATCGTGACCACAGCTGATTCAGAGGTTCTTGTAGCAAATGCCTTGGTTGACATGTATGCGAAATGTAGAAGACCTGAGGAGGCTGAAAGGATATTTGTGAAACTGAGCAGTAGATGCACGGTTCCATGGACAGCTATGATTTCTGCTAACGTTCAAAATGGACATTTTGAAGAAAGTCTAAAATTGTTCAGTGAGATGCGTAGGGATAATGTAACTGCTGACCAGGCTACTTTTGCTAGCGTCTTAAAGGCCTCTGCAAATTTGGCTTCAATTTCATTGGGGAAACAGCTACATTCCTACATAATCAGATCAGGGTTTATGTCAAGTATTTATGCCGGAAGTGCACTTGTCGATATGTATGCCAAATGCGGATCTTTAAAAGATGCAATTCAAATTTTCAAAGAGATGCCTGAAAGGAATGTGGTTTCCTGGAATGCACTGATATCAGCTTATGCTTCAAATGGGGATGGTGAGGCCACTCTTAAATTATTTGAGGAGATGGTTCTGCTAGGTTACCAACCAGATTCAGTAAGCTTCCTTTGTGTTTTTACAGCTTGCAGCCACTGGGGACTGGTTGAAGAAGGATTAAGATACTTTAATTCCATGACTAAAGTTTATAAACTTGTCCCAAAGAGGGAACACTATGCATCTATAGTTGATGTTTTATGCAGGAGCGGAAAATTCGACAAAGCAGAGAAGTTGATAGCTGAAATGCCATTTGATCCTGATGAGATTATGTGGTCATCAATTTTGAACTCATGCAGGATTCATAAAAACCAAGATTTGGCCAAGAGAGCAGCAGAACAACTCTTCAATATGGAGGTGCTTAGGGATGCTGCCCCATATGTTACCATGTCTAACATCCTTGCAGAAGCAGGTCAGTGGGAAAGCGTTGGGAAGGTAAAGAAAGCGATGAGGGAGCGTGGACTTACCAAGGTTCCAGCCTATAGCTGGGTTGAAATTAAACATAAAGTTCACATATTCTGCGCAAATGATAAGAATCATCCGCAGATGAAGGAGATCATACTAAAAATCGATATTTTATCGGAGCAAATGGAAAAGGAAGGATATGTACCTGATACAAGTTGTGCTCTTCACAATGAGGATGAGGATATTAAAGTTGAGTCCCTTAAATATCATAGCGAACGCTTAGCAATTGCTTTTGCGCTTATCAGTACACCAGAGGGATCACCAATTCTGGTGATGAAGAACTTGCGAGCTTGCACAGACTGCCATGCTGCAATCAAGGTTATCTCAAAAATTGTCGGAAGAGAGATTACAGTTAGGGATTCAAGCAGGTTTCATCATTTTAAAGATGGGATTTGCTCTTGTAGGGATTACTGGTAGTAGGTTAGAAGACTTATTTAAGTTTTATTTCCCTTGTCTTGTAAAGTAGAAATTTTTTAGGGGTAATCATTTTCCCAATTCAAGAATACATAGAAACTCAACTTATATCAAAATGCTTGATGAGTTTCAATTGATCTTGGAAACAAAAATGATAATCCCAATAAAGGCTCAATACAATTAAAACACCAAAATTTCAGAATCTTACTCTCTTGCTACAGAAAAGCACAAACAGAAAGCAAAACAAATTCCCAATTCTATTTCTTGTTCTTATTTTTACTATTGACTACATCATCTGGAACAACCTTCAGCAACTTTCTATCCTTAGACTTGGCAATTTTCTTCAGTGTTTTTGGATTTGTAATCTTCTGCAACTTTGTTCCAGACCTCAATATGTTCTCCTGTTTCTTCTTCTCTCTTTCCTCCCTCTGCTTCCTCTTCTCCTGCTTATTCCTTTTTATTTCGTCCTTCAACTCATTCATTCTTTCCCTATACGCTCTCTTTATCTCCTTCTGTCGCTCTCTCTCCTCGAACGTCGTGCCCTTAATGCTCACCAGTTTCGCCGACGCTCTTTGTTTCCTTGCTTGCTTCCACTTCCGACCTGATACTTTTCCACCTATCACGCCGTCGTACGTCGGTTGCCCGAATACTGGTTTATCCGGATTCTCTATTGATGCTACTGCTGATCTCTTTGCCGCTGGAGGAAGTGTTTCTCCGTCAATCTCCATGGATCCGTCGACGTCGCCAGTCGCAGCAAGCGATTGGGCTTCACGTTTTCGCTTGTAGGTTTTGCCGCCGAAGCCTTCATCGAGGCATCGGAAATCGATAGTGCAAGCCATTGTTTCGAGTTCGATTGAGAAACCCTAAACAGAGTGTTTGGTGGTATTTAACTATTTATAGGAGTTAGGGTCGCGGATTCTGGGAATGGATTCGGGTTTCGGGTGATTAGTTCGGGTTCTCTGCTGTGAATTGGTCTTCTGTTTTTAGTTGCAAAAGTAATTTTTAGCAAAATTTGATTTGCTCAGAAATATAATAATGACAAAAAAACTGTTTAGAAAAATATAAATTTGATAAAAAAGCTCAAAGTAATATTCAAATTTTCTGTAGAATAATTCTTATCTTTTTATACATTATGAAAGGATATGAAATAATGACATTGTGAGGTTTTAGAAAACACCTACTATAACAGAAAATAATGCCCACCTTAGTGTATGAAACTTTTTAAAATAAATATTTTTATTTTCTAATTATATAGTATTTTGAAAACATGTATAAGAAATTACACAAAAGGATAATCGTGTTAATTTATTTTTATTTTGTAAAATCTGATAAAAAAAAACAACTTAAAAAATTGAGGAAAATATTTGATTTCTCCTATGTAACTCTTCGAGGCTTGTCTAGAAGGGGGATTTTTTTTTTAATTTTTTAGAAATGAAAAATATGAGAAAAATATTAATGGAAAAGATATTTCTTTATTGAAAAATGGTGATTAAAACATCACATATTTTATTCTTAGATCCATAAAATTAGAATCACTCCAAATCAGAAAAACAATGTGAATAAATTGAAAAAAATTGCATTATTTAATACAAAATATAATCTATTTTCATTTCTCCTTTCTTATCCTTGTACGTCTCCTTCTACAAATGAGTGAAATTAAGGGAAGAAAATATTAACATTTCATTATTTTCTATTTTTATTTTCTTTCTCTTCCTTCCCAAAGAAAGTGCAAATATTCATTAGTATATTCTACTTTTGGTTGGAAGGTATTGAAAAATATAATATCAATATGGGTTAGCTCCCTTCCTCTCTTTACAAGTGCGCATTCAGTTAACCCCTCAAAAGAAAAGGAATTCTACCAAAAAAGAAATAAAAACTTTTGAGGTATTAATATAAAAAATAAAAAAAAGGCATATAATTTATATCATTGATCAAAACATAAAATAATTCATCAATCTTCTGAAGCACATTATAGCCTTCAAGCGCATTCTTTCAAGCATTTGTTTGACTATCCATTCGAGTGCTCAATGTTTACAAAATTTTAAACAGATGGATCTTAAAGGCAAAACCAGAAAGGTATCACTACTGTTACAACACAACTTTAACATTTAATCATCGGTTTCAGCTTAAAACATCACAATTCACAACCAAAATTTCAAATTACTCGAAATACAATGACTTTTGCTAAATGCTACATTAATCTGGGAAGAGGGAGAGAATTCCTTAAACTTGAAAAAATTGCTCGAAAAACAAGCACTTTATCATTTGATAAAGTTGAGGCATAATTATAGTCAGACATACTTAATCCAATTCAGAAATGTCTGTTTCAAAGAATGTTTTGTGGAGTGATCTGACACACTGCTCTGCTTCGTCGTCATTCACAATTAATGAGATATTAACCTGGTTGGCAAAATCAAAAAGTGATTAACATTTTTCAGAGGAAAAGGGAATCCACACACATGCATACAGTGGTTGGATTCTAAATAGCAAATGTAAAATCTGCAATACGAACTAAAAAAGACACATGCAAAGGAAACAAAACTCTACCTTAGATGCACCTTGCGATATCATCTGAACATTGACACCATTGGTTCGAAGAACATTGAATACCTGCCATAGCAACATTCCAGTAAATAGATGAGGAAAACGAAAAGAAAATGTCCAACCGTTCACTAAAATACATCGCAAGATGTCAAAACTGCTTCTTAATACCTTTGTCTAGGTACCATGCAAATAGCCTCCCTTTAGAATGATCATGAGCAGTAAAATAAAAAAGACAAATGAACGTGCCAAAAAGCAATTTCATATTACTGTATGCTTTAATTGATTCCTTTCACCTATCAATTAATCAAATAACAGGTGCATCCCTTTTCCAAAGCTTTGGAGACGGTTGAGACATATTAAATAAGAGAAATCAAATTCTTAGGAAAATGTTTAACCTTATGGTTGACATCTCTTCAATCAAACATCAGGTTTCATGAAGTGTTGATGTAAAAATATTAAGGATCAAGTTAGTCAGTATGACAATTTTAAGCAGTGAGCAATCATAATAGAGCACCTTCTCCAATATCAATGATGACCTCTGAACATTCCCAATAAGAGAAATAATTGATCTATGCTGAAGGAGATTGACTACAGCAATCTTCTCTAGCTCTTCCACAACATGGTCGAGTTCCTGGACAAGAAAGGTGGAAACATTGGATGTCAATCCTGAAATAAAAAATACAAAATCCTGCTGCAGAAGACGCTGCAACTGTAAAGAGCATTCTGAATGAGAACAAAAAAGGATTCCGTACGCTTGCCTGCTGAATGAGTTCCCTGCTCCAAACTTTTGATGGATCCAGTGTCAAGGAAATACTAACTTCACTAGTTGCTACAACATCAACCGATATGCCCAGATCTTCAAAGATTGAGAATACCTACATGCAGAAAAGATGTCATTCAATGGGGGTCTAAACCAATGGCTGAAGCTTCAGAGGACAAGAATAAAATCCAATTTCAGCCTGCTTACCTTGGCAAGAAAGCCAAATTGACCAAGCATACGAGTGCTAACAATATCCAACATAGTCACATTCCGTTTCAGAACAATGCTAGTTAGTACTGCCTGAAATTCGGATGAACAATTTTAGTTGTTTGAAATTGTCCACAAGAAACTCATTTTTCTGATTCTTGTACAAACCTTTCTCATATCTCTTGCTCTCGTTATGAGAGTTCCTGGAGCATTTGGGTTGTAAGAATTCTTAACCCTAACAGGAATATCACCTTCCCTAGCAGGTCTCATGGATTGTGGATGCAGGACCTGCAAAATGGCCAAAAAAACAAGGTTGGATAAATCATCGAATTTGTTGCCAGAATCACTTGGATCTCTTGTCAATAGACAGTGATTACACGACAACCATGTCAAGTAAAAACAATTAGAAGCGCCTCAAACAAGCATTGAATCACATGTAGATTCCTAATTTAGATTCTGCAAAGATGATGGAAAACAATTATTAAATGGAGGGAGAGAAGGAATTTCAATCTTGTTTCATCAAGACAGAACAGGAAGAATAAGGTAATTTATAGCAGGTGAAATGATGAAAGTCAACTTGCTGGTCTGTATTTGATTTTGCTTCTATGATAACTTTGGTTTCCTTTTATGTTCATTGTGTTTTGCTTGCTTGATCATAGGATGGGAGTCTTGGTAGCACCAGGTATGATGGATTAAGAAGCAAACTAGCAGTCTAATAAAAACAAAGTCCCACATGAATTTCCAATGTTAAGAAGCACGAGTATAAGATACTACTTGTGAAATTCAGACCTCTCATCTAGTCATCCATAAAAATTATGTTTTGGAGAAAAGGATAAAAAAAAAAAAGAAAGAAAGAAACGAAGACGACAGAGTTTCATCATTTGGTAGTAGAAGAGAAATTGATTTAATCGATAAATAAAAAATGCAACCAAACTCAATATAAGGGAGTTGCATGCTTAACCAGGAAGAAGCCATAGGATTTGATACCTGTGCTCCAAAATATGCAAGTTCAGCTGCCTCATCAAATGTCAAGTATGGCACAGGTTCCGCAGCTGGATATATATTAGGATCACATGTTAAAACACCGTCAACATCTTTCCACACCTGCAATGGACTACAAACTTAAATTCGTGTAATTTCTAAAAGAACATGAAAGAAGCAGAAATATATTCAAGACCATTTTACAACTTTGTTGAATCCATTCATCAGCAGCACTTATCATGAAAAATAGTTATTGTGTTAACACTTAATGGTTGATGTCACAAAATATATGCTCATGAAATCATTAAAAATAGAGTGTAATCCCAAACAAAAATGCTCCCGAAAAAGAAGGGAAAATAAAAGTAGAAGAAAAAAGAAAGTGAACACGCATGCTTTGCAGACACAATTAGCCACAAACCTGAATCTCTCGCAAACTCAATGCTTTTCCAATTGTTGTGGCTGTCAAATCACTACCACCCCTGCCCAATGTAGTAATGGCACAAGATCTCCAGCCCTAGTATTTGAAATTGGCATAAATAAATAAATAACTAACAGTATCAGCTGAAATCCCAAAACTATCCATTTAAAAGAGTTCATTATTTTCACAAACAAGACTTCCAAGCACTTAGTCTGTGGAGAGACCTTCCCAAGGAAACCAGTAACAATTGGAATTGCTGGATCACTGATCCAATCCCCATATAGCCTCTTTGCAACTGCTGGATAAGTTGCTTCAAGAATGTCTGCATTCGTGAAGTCATCTGTGGTGATAAAACCAATATCGAAGGCATCGTACTGAAAAAAAAAATTGTGCGTTATTATTGACCGTCATCATGGATTGCATTTGTGGAATATGACAACAAAATTTGACCACAAAAAAAAAAAAAAAAACACTCATTTAGGTTTAATTTAATGCTCTCATTAATCTTCAGCTCTCCACCTAGAAGACAATGTGTCATTGAAACTCTAGTCTCTAAACATGAGATGAAAGTATGCCTCCCTGTATATGGTTCAATACAGAATATGCCATGACAAGAATTTATAGATCAAGTGCTCCTGTTATCCCAATTCTATTATCATACTTTTAATCAGGGTGCTGATACCTTATCGGTTCACCAAATTGTCAAGTATCTTTAAATTCTTCTTTTAATGTAATCCATGACATTAAGGTTATTTCTTTTGTTATTTACAGTTGTTATTTGGAAAAAATTAAAAATAGAACAAAGATTACATTGACAGAGCAAGAAATCTATGAGAAATTTCACAAGCAGCAACACCAATTTATTTTGTAATAAGATAAAGTCTAAAAAGAAAGTAGAATACAGATCACTTACTTGGCGGGCTTTTGCACCAATTTTATTCAAATACGCAGCAAATATCCTTGTGGACATGCATTCGCCAAATGAAACCAAGTAGTCTCTTGTTCGAGGAGTCAGCTCTTTCATCATAGCAACTCCCTTCAAAAGTTGCTCCAGTTCTTCTAGGTGAGCTGCAAGGGACATAATACATTGGATCTAAATTACTGGGTAATGTTATTGTGCAAGCGAGTAGTTATTAAAAAGCATGTGAGAAGTTGAACAAAACTACTCCACAACCAAGTGAATTGTAATTATCAAACAAAAATGGAAGCAAAATAGAAACTCACGTTCGATAACTGACTTGTCTACTTCCAGCTCATCTACTGTCCTGATAGGTTAACATGATGCACAGTGAGAATACAATGAATTGCAAAAATATCACGACTTGAAACAAACATAAAGGGAAAAAAAATCATTATTCTCTGACCTTAGGTGCAATTCCTTGATGAAGCTCAGTTCATCAATAGTCTCTACATTAGTTACACCACAGGAAACAGCCCTTTCTCCAGCCTAATAATCAAATCGAACAAGTTGAAAACAAAGTCTTTTCCAGAATGAAACCAACAAAAAACCTCAAAAAAAAAAAAAAAAAAAAAAAAAAAAAAAAACGAAAAAAAAAAAAATACAACAGATGTTGTACCAAAAAAAAAAAAAAAAAAAAAAAAAAAAAGAAATACACGAATAAAAAAAAATACAACAGATGTGTACCAGCAAAAGTTTGTTAGTTGTCTTTCCCATTGCTGATAGAACAATGACAGGTCTCTCATTTGGGAAGCTAAGTATAAGGTCAGCAACTTCTTTCATCCTCTCAGCAGATGCAACGGACGAGCCACCAAATTTCATTACACAAGTTAATTGTTTATCAGGTTCGGTACTAACATCGCTAAAATACTCAGTTTTATTCCTTTCAAGGACATCAACAGTTCGTCTCTCACAACTAATTTTCAAAAGTCTATTACTCGTACAAGAAAATTTTACTCTCGCACAAAATCCAGAACTCTTAGCCACAGAGTCCGCAAAATCAAGGCGTTGCTGTGACAACAAGGCTGGGCAATGCAATGGTCTCTTTAGCAAAACTGAATAAGCAACTTTGCCACCACAAAAATGCAAGGTAGTTGCCATTTTAGATCAACTAAACTAACCTTACTAATTCAATTCAAAAAGAAATTTCGACGAATAAAGCAATAGATTCACTTTCAGGAACTCGATCTGCAAAATTTCCATAACCAAATCATGTCAAAAAAATATATATATCAAAACCACAACAAGCACCAATTTGCATTCATTTTCCGTCCATAACAGAATAAGAACAAGTAATTACCTTCGAGACCGAGCTCCCAAGCGAAAAAGGAAATGCAAAACTGAGCTTCTAGCGAATGTCGGTTTTAGAGTTTACGGTTATTTGATTTCTGCAATTCCTTCAGAGACTCAAGGATAGTTTATTTCCGCGGCTTTGAAGAGAAACCGAAGAAATGAACTGACGCGGCGGCGCCTTCTTTTGAACGCAAAAACTTGGTTTCTCGTCAGTGTCTATTTGTTGTTTTTCATATGCTGTTTTCTTTTTAAACACTCTCTCCCTCTCCTGACCTGAAGATTATGGTGGCGGTCAAGATTTGAGTTTGTGAAGTATTGGGTGGCCCACTATGGTGGTAAACTTGTACATAAGATCATTTTTGTAGAGATCTAACGGTGAATACATATGTTGTTATTATTGAGAATTTAGTGTAGATGTGAGTGTAGATTTTCTAGGAGCGCATTGATTTAGGGGCTTCCGACGTGGACCACTCTATGTCTTCCTGTCTCTACGGTTCAGTGTATGGCCATCGATATATGGAAGCATACCGCTGATGTGCTGATTTATTTCTATTTCCTAACAATTGGCTGCAACGCGTTTGGTAAACCTTTTAATAAGCATTAGCTACGGTTTTGTAAATTTTTTCGTATACTAGTGGATTATATTTTAATGTGCATTTAAATAATATTATTTTATTTGAACTTCATAAATCTAAGAAAATAACTACTATAAAATTTTCAAAAATTGATAAATTTTACGATGATTTTATTTATATTTAGTTATAAATGAAAAATAATATTAAATATTAGGTGGCCAAATATATAAATTTACACCCGAATTTTAAAAAATTAACCCAACGACACTCTCATCTTTGCAAATAATCAATTATGCACTTCAATTCTTTTTTTTTCCACTAATATTGCACCTTTCCACACTAGTTGAGTGCGTGAATCTCACTTAGCCGAGACAAGCATTAATGGATTAGAAATAACCCAACGTGTAAATATCTTGTTCAGCATGGCTTGATGGAAAAAAACTTCTCCTTTTTCCCTCTTTTATTAGATTCACTGATTAGGGTTTTGTTTTTCCATTTATGTGATTTCACTCTTCTTTCTCTCTGTCTCTTTCAATAAATTGAGGGAAAGAGGAATTTTTTTTCTCTATCTTTGAAGTCTCTATTCCAATTGATCACAGAAAGGACTATATGCTATTTGGATAAGAATGGATATACCAGTTGACTATATTATGCCTAATTGCTATTGTGGTGAAGCAGCAGTGTTGAAGGTGTCTTGGACAGACGCGAAAAAATCGAGCGGACGATTTTATGGATGCAAGAAATTTAGGGTTTGTTAAATTTGATATATTTGTTTAGTTTTCTTTGAATTTGGTTTAACATTGTTGTGCTTTGTTGATTGTAGATGCGTGGTGAATGCAATTTCTTTCAATGGGATGATCACCGATGCCAAATCATGCTAAACATGTTATAATGGGATTGCTGAGAAGAATCAAAGAAAGCGAAGACATGAGTAATAGGCATAATGCGATTTGGTGGAAGCTGGTTATTGGGGTTTGTGTTATTTTTGTTGTTCTAACTATTAAGGAAGTGTTTAGGGGAGCTTAGTTGCAGGATTTGTCTTTGTTTTCTTTTTTTTCTTTTTTGTACTGTGGTTTGTATTGTAGCACCAAATTTTGGGTCTTTTTTTAACTGCATTGTAGAGAGTGACAGTGTGATGTTGTTGGTGTGCTAATGTTTTGATTTTGCTTTGTAAATGTTGAATCAATTCAAATTGAATAGAAATGAAATGTTGCATGTTGCTGGCAATCTTCTCTATGTCAATTGCTTTATGTTTAAATAACCCTACTCAATTCGTATATATATCAATTGCTTTATGCTTAAATGACCCTACTCAATTCGTATATGTGTTTGTAATACATTAATATAAAAAGAAGCTGAAATCCAAAACAGGCCAAATAAATGGAAAGGAAATTAAGTTCCATTACTGAGAAAAACTACATTGTTCAACATTTATGAGAAAATGACAATAATATTAATTCTCTCTAAACAGCAACTACATAATGTCAGTGGTCGAAATAAGTATTGGATCCAGTTTCCACAATTACACAGCAAAATAAATATTAACAAAATGCACAAATATTTCATTCATAGTTCTCTAAAAAGTTTCTAGCATTCTCAAGTATTGTCAGTTCACTAAGTTGATCTGCTACTTGTATGTGAAGCTTGGCTTGAAGTATTTATTGGTGCTGACAGTCTAGCCTGTGACTCCAAATCTCTTTGCCTTTATAAATCAAACCTCTGCTGCTAGAGTTGCCTTGCAGTCACACCATTCTTACCCTTCCATTTGAGACTTAGAGGTTTGAAGCCAAGATCACAGGTGACAGTAGCAGAGCTTTTCAACTAAGTTGGGTTGGTGATAACCCTTGAAGCAGTATTGATGGATGATTGAAATTCAACAAATAACATGATGCCAATGGTATAAAAAAAAGCATTGGATCCAGTTTCCACAATTACACAGCAAAATAAATATTAACAAAATGCACAAATATTTCATTCATAGTTCTCTAAAAAGTTTCTAGCATTCTCAAGTATTGTCAGTTCACTAAGTTGATCTGCTACTTGTATGTGAAGCTTGGCTTGAAGTATTTATTGGTGCTGACAGTCTAGCCTGTGACTCCAAATCTCTTTGCCTTTATAAATCAAACCTCTGCTGCTAGAGTTGCCTTGCAGTCACACCATTCTTACCCTTCCATTTGAGACTTAGAGGTTTGAAGCCAAGATCACAGGTGACAGTAGCAGAGCTTTTCAACTAAGTTGGGTTGGTGATAACCCTTGAAGCAGTATTGATGGATGATTGAAATTCAACAAATAACATGATGCCAATGGTATAAAAAAAAGCATTGGATCCAGTTTCCACAATTACACAGCAAAATAAATATTAATTCTTACCCTTCCATTTGAGACATAGAGGTTTGAAGCCAAGATCACCAGTAACAGTAGTAGAGCTTTTCAACTGAGTTGGGTTGGTGATATTCTTAAAGCAATGATGGATGACTGAAATTCAACAAATAACAAATATTTCGACAATTAAATACATTCACAAAGCATCACTGAGTTTGGTTTTAACAAAAAAGATTCAATGTAAAAAATATAAAGACATTCACAAAGGGTAATACATGATATATAATCATGCCAATAGCCTCATTAATGTAAACACCAATCCCTCTTTGAGTAGCTTGTCTCTTAGCAGAAGAGGCCAATATTTCTCCAGTATACCTCTTAGTTGGTGCTACAATAGGTGGGCACACAGAAGCTCCCCTTCCCCTACCCCTACCCCTTCCTCTTCCTCTTCCCCTAACAGGAGAAGCACTTGAAGATGGTAGTACACCAGTGGTCATGCCAGTAATTGGTGGTACAGCTGGTATGACATTACCCTAAATTGGACCTCCTCTGCCTCGTCCTCTTCCTCCAACTACATGTGTTAGATTTCTTGATTCACTGAAAGCAAGAAAAGCTTTAAATGGTGTTCAAGTTGCTCTTTGACTCACAGAGGTAGGAGAAGCATGAAATGGTGTTACAGTTGCTCTTTCACTCACAGAGGCAAGAGAAGCATTAAATGGTGTTGTAGCACCCCTTTGGCCTGATCTTAGTGTTCTTATAGCTACAATAAAAATAAGTTTTTATAAAGGATTCAAAATTGAGTCAAGGAATAACAAACATTCACATTATAATGTTGTTTAAACATAGATTCATTAGTAAAAAAAGCATAACTCAGGGAACAAATATCAAAGTTGAATACTGGCCTGTTGGAGTGGAGATGGGTGGAACACTTGTGCTACCCATTGCACATGACTACTGGTTGGGTTGGGGTTGTGATTAACTTCCAATCTGTTGTCACATTTCCAATTGCACATGATTATCATTAATAACACTTTCATTATACACATTATGGCAATTCACAACATAAATGAAAAAAAGCTCTAAAAATTATACCCTGACTTGAAGAGGGTCTTTGTCGTGGGCATCTTCTCTTATTGTGACCTGATTCTTTATATAACCCACATGTCATAGAAACACCTTTTTTCAAAATTTTCCTAAATTTTTTCCTAGGCTTATCTTTATCCCTTCTTCTGTTTATCTTCTTTCTGTCAGGTTTAGCTTGTCTAGGTAGGGGGTAAAATCACAGGATTGGTTGTCTCAGGCCAAAGCTTCATGCCTCTAACAGGTTGAATGCTATACTTGTAAGCTTTCAAATATTGATCCTTCCTATACCAAATTGCTATAAAATCTTCAGGAGTCATTTTCCTATGAAAAATAGATTCCTTTGAGTTCCTATGACCTGCAAGAGCAACTCATCTTCCTCAAACACACAATATGCTTGTACTCTCCCTCAACTATCTCAAAACCAGTATCGATAATGCATTGACAACATTTTATTCATCTCCAATTTCTCCATAGCTTTGGGGGATATGTCACATATCCATGTACTAGCAAAATCTCTCATCACCCTTATCCTCTCCATTACTTGTGTTCTTATTTCTTCCATCATTATGATGATTGACTTTATCCTAGCACTCAGAATCCAACCATTGAAAGTCTCTCACATGTTATTCTCAACAGTATCACACTCAGAGGTGTAATTAAAGAAAGCCCTACACCAAGTATTATGATTATAGTACAACAAATCATCTATAATTTCGTTCCTAAGAGCACCCATCTCTTTCAATTTATCCTTCAACATCATCTCCAAGGGTGCTTTTGCCACCTCCCAAAATTTTCTTCACCCTTCCATTTCTCATTCCAATTAGTCCATATGTGTCTGGCACACATTATGTGCTCCAACTCTCACAGCTCTTGTAGCTTTATCAAGTCCCTAATACAAAGTTGGTAAAGAAATTGATGAAAAAATCTGCATATGATTGCAAAAATTAAATATCACTACTAAACTATGGAAAATATGTATTATATTCAAACAAGCAAAAAAATTTAAGGAAAGATCTTACCTTTTGCATGTCTGTCATGACAGTCCAACCTGAGCCAGTGGTATGCCAAGGTCCTGCTTCAGAGTTGAGATGAATCAAAGCCAATTTTTTGTGTTCTCCACCTCCACTACAACCCATGCTATTGGAAATATCTGATTGTTTCCATCCTTTGTCACTACAGTAAGTAACTGACCTCCACATAGCCCTTTAAGAAAACAGCCATGCAAGTTAAATATTGGCCTACATCCTTCAATGAAACCTTGTGCTCAAGCATGCAAACACATATAGAACCTTTTGAATTGTTGAACCCCCTATCAAGCCTTTTGCACTTTGCAAAGCAAGCTGATCCAAGATTAGAAGTCCTAATTTCATCTGCATAATCATGCAGTCTAGCAAATACAACTTTGTAGTCCCCCATTATAGCCCCTAGTGCTTTTATCTTAGATCTTCTTGCAATTTTTTTTACCAATGTAAACATTCAGGTGCTCCTTACACAAAGCTTGTATTTCCCTAATTTTTATATTCAGATGCTCCTTAACACAAAGGCTTTATTTCCCTAATTTTTATACTAGGTTGAGATACAATTATTCCTCTAAAAAATGCCTACCTACTAAGGCAAGAGGTGGCATGAACTTATTTTCCCTATTGGTTCTATAAACATGTATGTTTGGGTTATAGGTTTTTTTATCAGAAGCACAATATTTGTGCTACTTTCTTTGCTACCAAACAACAACGCATGGACAGCCCTTTCCTAAAACTTAGCTCTAACCCTCTTTGGCTCAAATTTGGGGCTTATCATTTGGTCTTATAGTTAGATCTACCCCTTACCACACCATACTTAGCTAAGGCTTTCCTAATTAAATTGATCCACGGACTCAAAAATCATACGAAGCTCCCAATATGGCACAACAGATGTTGGATCATAGTGGGTTTTCCTTTCTCTCCTATTGATTGATGAAATATCATCTCCACTACCATGTTCATCATCACTGACTTCTCTAAGGATCAGAAGAATCAATGTAAGGCTTTCCTCCACCAGTTACACCTTTGAACTTATTATTCAAACTATCCTCTCCAGTAAAACCAAAATCAGGTCCTGCTTCACCTAATGGAACATCTTGAACCTCCTCCTCTAGCCTTGCCCTAGCTCTTCTAGTATAATTCTTAACTCTCTTTCTAGCTTCCTTTAATTCTTCATCCACATCACTTACATCACCTTCAAAATCTCCATCAACCCCATCTTCTTCAACTTCAGCTTCATAATCACTATATATATCAGAGCTTCTTTCTTCTTGACTTTTAGTGGAGGAGCTGCCACTCTCAATATCCCCCTCACCCCCTTCATCTACACTAGGTTTAAATCTAGAACCAACACTAGGAAATTTCACATGACCCCTTTCACAATCTGGCCCTTTAGTGTTACCCACTTGCACATTAGTCCTTTCACAGTCTGCTCCTTCACTGTTACCCATTTGCACATTAGCCCCTTCCCCACCAATATTTTTCCTTTTGTCATTTGCCCCTTCCCCTAATAGATTTTCATTTTCCATATTTGCCCGTTCCCCTAATCGATTTTCATCCCAGGCCACATTCATTAATAGTGCATCATTAACTTGAACTGTGACATCCTATTGAGTCGAGTCATTTCATAGAGGTGAGTTGAGTCGGGCTGAACCAAACCCGGTTGGGGTAGAATGGGATTAGAAGTGGATTAGAAGTGTATTTATATTTGCATGAAGTAAAAACGATCAAAGTTTTAGGACTGCTTGCAAATCAAAATATAAAGCTTGGGTATTAATTGTAAACCGTTGACAATTGAGGTACCATTTGGGTAATTTCACATAAAAATGCATTGAATAATTTTGATGGCCTAACCGTGATTACCATTTCAACTTTACCAATTTTTCATCTTTAATCCTTCCATCTCCTCATCTCCTTCCTTTCCCTGTCCTTCCCTCCATTCAATTTTCATGGTAAGTTAAGCAAATTAAGGCATACCTTATTTTCTCTCAAGTAAATAGAAAATTTCTTGAAAGACTTCTATGTTATTCAACCTCTAATTGAGTTATATTAATAGATAATTCATAAGGAATTCTTATTTCTAGGTGAAGTGAAGTTCAAAGGTATAGAAAAAGGAAGCTAAGAAGAGCTCAAAGCTTTTGGAGTGAAGTCTGATAAATCTCTTGTCATTTACCAAATTTTCCTTTGCATGAAACTGTGTGGTGTGTTGCTAATGAGACGAATAATGTATGCTTAATGTTGAGTGAGAGGACTGGAAATGTGAGAAAGCATGGGATGGACTGAATAAATGAAGTAATAGTGAGTTATGCTGAAACAGTTTTGCTGAAAAATTTAACCCAGTAAACTCCCCTTGATTTTGAACCCTATTAACGATGGAAATTAGGTAGTGGCATAAACATTATTTGGTTCCTCTATGTGTTAGGTTAGCTTTCCATGGATTTTTGAATCACCCAAATCGGAATTATAGATTGAGAGATATGACCAAAAGAGTACAGACTGCGCAGGCTGGAAAACACAAAGCGAGGTCGCGAATTTCATTGCGCGCTAGCGAATTGTGCCTGTAAACTCTCTGACTCTCATTTTGCACTTCTCGCGCTCGTGAAATTCATTGCGCTCTTGCGAATTTGGCCTGTAAACTCTCTGATCCTCTTGTGTGTTTCTCGCGCTCGCGACTTTGCATGGCGCGCTTGCGAATTGTGTTCTGATGCTCTTTTGGACTTCATTTTCTATGCAATTGTATTCCTTTGTATTCCTTTGCTCAACTTGTTATGCCTCTCATCATTTTAAATATACAAAGAAGACACAATGAAGAAAAAGTATCAAAACATACTGCAAGCCATGCATGTCAAAACAAACTGTAATAGTGAAGTCCAATATCAGCCTGTAATTATTGTATATTAATCTTTAACAATTTGTAATAAATTCTGGTATTTAATAGCTTAATCGAGAGATTTATTGGGATGGTTAAATATGGGATGTTATGTGCTTAAATTTTAGGAAATATGTAGGCTAGTCTCTTGTATAAAAATGTATATGATACAGAAGCATGAAGAGATACAGATTTTTCAAAATTCTTTTGTTTGATTTATGGATTCAGAGCCTACGAAATACTCTCTTGGTGTTTTCTCGTCTGAGATAGTTCTCATCGTGTGTGTTTTTTTTTTTTCCCCTTTTTATCAATATCATCTTGGTTTTTCTAATCATGGAAAAAATTGACGTTGTTGCTTTCATCAATCTCACAGCAAAGAAATTACTTTGCTGGGAATTCCAAATCAAGAAATTTAATGTCAGGGAAAAGACTTATGGGGAACTTGTTGATGGTGTCGAGTAAGCCGACGGATTCAACTAAAATAGCTGAATGGGAAACAAAAGATGCTCGTGTGAAAAGCTGGTTGTTGCAAACAATGGATCCTTCCATTGCTGCCAACCTCAGACCATTCAAAACAGTGAAAGCGATGTGGGAGTATCTTAAAAAAGTGTATGCTCAAGATAATTCAGCTAGGCGGTTTCAACTGGAGCAAGATGTGTCCACTTACACGCAGGAAAATTTGTCAATAAATTTGTCAATCCAGGAATATTATTCGGGTTTTGTTGCTTTGTGGACTGAATATACTGAGATTTTATATGCTTCTATTCCTGAAGCATCTTTGGAGACAGTCATAAACCTTCATCAAACTAGTTAAAGAGATCGTTTTTTGATGAATCTCAGATCTGAATTTGAGATTGTCAGATCCAATTTGTTGGCTAGGACTAACATTCCATCTTTGGATGATTGTTTGAGTGAATTGCTTAGGGAGGAACAACGTCAAAAGACGCAGCATGCCTTAGAACAGCAAGGCAGCTCATCCAATGTTCTCAATGTTGCGTATGCAGCCGTATGCAGCACAAACCAAAACTCGGAACCTGGCTGGAGTCCAATGTTACAGCTGCAAAGGATTTGGTCATATTGCAAGTCAATGTTCCAAAAATTTTGCAACTATTGCAAAACTAAGGGACATATTATTTCAGAGTGTAGAAAGCCGTCCCAGACTCGTACCATCTCAGGCTTTGCATGCTTTCAACAACACAATCATTTGGCGGCAATCAACATCGAATAATGCTTCTCACAAGCCTTGTTCCTGTAACTTACTCAAGAGGCAGTTCAACAAATAGTCATTTCAGCTCTTTTCTGCACTTGGAAATTACGGGTAACAAATCCCTTCTAAAAAAAAAAATTTTTCCCCTTGGGCCCCGCTTCGTGATCAGCTTGGCATCAAATCACATGACTCCATCACTTGAACAATCTGTGTAACAATTAAAAAAATATGATGGGCACTTGAAAAATCGAGAACTGCTAGTAGGGAATGCATGTTCCCATTAATGGCTACTGGTGATATTTCTTCCTCTTCCTTTTTCTGAAGAATGTTTTTATTGCTCCTAAAATCACTACAATTTTATTAATCTGTTGGACAAAATAGTGGGAAGAAAATAATTGTGAAGTCATTTTTTTTTTCCCTCTGGTTGTGTTGTGCGGAGGTTATGAACAGGGAAAACGGTGGCAAAGGGACCTAAATGGGGCAGATTGTTTCCTCTTAATATCCATGAACCCGACCAAGCTTCAAAGTGTGTCTTCTTTTCTAAACTACTTCAGTTCAAAGATGAAATATCAGCTTATGGCATACGAATGGGTCATCCCTAATGATAAGAACTATTTATCTTTTGTTTAAGTCTGGTGTATTTGGGAACTAAAACCTTGTCTAAAAATATTGATTTAATTGTTCTAGTTGCCAAAATGGGTAAAAGCAAACCTTTACCTTTTCCCATCTCCATGCGCCTACTCATAAAAAGAATCTTTTGATTTAATCCAATAAGTGATGTTTGGGAATTTCCACCTGTTATTTCTCATAATCATTAAAACAAATATTTTGTAACGTTCATTGATGATTACAGTCGCTTCAACTGGATCTATTTTTTGCGACAAAAATCAGAGGTCCTTTGATGTTTTCCAAAAATTTTTTAGCCCTTAATCGAAAATCAGTATTCTAAGACTATCAAAATCTTTGGCGTTCTGATTCGGGTGGGGAATACATGTCACAAAAAATTTCCAAGTTTTTCTTCAATCAAAAGGGATTCTATCTCAAACGAAGTTGTCCATATACCTCGCTCAGCAAAATGGTGGCTGAGCAAAAAAAATCAAAAAATCGCCATTTACTTGATGTGGTTCGAACTTTGCTCATTGAATCATTTGTTCCACCAAAATTTTGGGTTGAAGCCTTATCCACTGCCGTACATCTCATAAATCGACTTCCCTCGCAGACTCTCAATAATCAAACACCATATTTTTTGCTTCATAAAACCATAACAAATTATAAACATTTACATCCTTTTGGATGTGTATGTTTTGTCCTTCTACCACCTCACGAACGAACCAAGCTTTCCCCACAATCAATAAAATGTGTCTTTCTTGGCTACGCACCAAATCAAAAGGGTTTTCAGTGTTTTGATCCAACCACCCAACGTCCAACCACCCAACGGATTCGTATTTCTCGTAATGTCATTTTTTTAGATACCAAAAAAATTTTTACTCTCCTTTGAAAGGGCTCATTCCAATACCTCTTCACTTATAACACTGCTTCATCTTGAAGACAACTTCAATGACTCACCTTCCAACTCTTCTCTTCCAATAACCCGATTTCATCCTGGGATTGTGTATACTAGAAGACCTGTTCATAGACAAATTCCACAACAATCTGATACCCCATCAACAGTAATGGCACTTGAAGCTTCGCCTGGGTCCCCTCTGCCACCTGAGCCCGACATTGCACCTCCACCACTTAGAAGATCTGCTCGAGCCATCAGAGCCCCAGACATGTACGGTTTCTCTCCAGAAAGAAAAAATAAATCTCATACATCCATGGTTGCTACTTTGTCTTCTATTGCCATACCAAAGTCATATTCAGAAGCAATTAAATCTGATTGTTGGAAGAAAGCTATTCAAGATGAACTGGATGCTCTGGCAGAAGATGAATTGGATGCTCTGGCAGAGAATCAGACTTGGCAACTTAAACCGTGTCCACCAGAAATCACTCCCATTGGTTCCAAATGGGTTTTTACTGTCAAATTGAAAGCAGATGGTTCTTTTGAACGTTGTAAAGCTCATCTGGTAGCGCTAGGAAATCGCCAGGAATATGGGATTGACTATGACGAAACATTTGCTCCGGTCGCGAAAATGACTACAGTTCGTACAATTACAGTTCGTTACAATTTTTGGGCTATTGCAACTTCCTCAAGACATGGCTTTATACATCAAAATAGAATGCCTTTCTTCACGGGGATCTTAAAGAAAATGTTTTTATGCGTCCGCCACAGGGATTGCAAACTGGTCCAAATGAGGTATGTCAACTGCAACGTTCTCTGTATGGGTTGAAACAAGCCCCTCGTGCCTGGTTTGCAAAATTTCTTCAAACTTTGCTTGATCTCGCCTTCCAACAGAGTCAATATGATCCTTCTTTATTTTTCCAAAAGACAACTCAAGGCATAGTTATGTTACTTGTATATGTGGATGATGTTTTAATCACTGGTAGTGATACTGTTT